CGGGGGTCCCCAGCGCCGGACGACACCCTGCTCGGCCCTCCCACCTCAGTTTCCCCTTCTGAAGCCTCCGGCCGGGTGAGGGCAGGCAGGCAGCGTGGTCGGAGTGGGGGCCCCCCCGCGCCCGGCGGCGTCTGCGCAGCCCGCTGGCCCGCCCCCAACCCGCTGTAGTTGCCCTCCGGGGGGGCCGTGGGAATGACAGCCACTGCTGCGGGGGACCCGGGACGGGACCGGAGGGGGTGTGGGGAGGGCCAGCTGCTGCCCTGCTTCCTGCTCCGGCGCCCCGGCCCTCCCCCAGTAGCACCCCGCCCTCCCCCCGCCCCCCTCACACCACAGCCACAGCCGGAGCTTCCCGAGCCCCCTCCCTGGCCTTGTCCTTTTTTTCTTTTTTCTTTCTTTTTTTTTTGCTTTTTGGGTCACACCCGGCAATGCACAGGGGTCACTCCTGGCTCATGCACTCAGGAATTACTCCTGGCGGTGCTCAGGGGACCATATGGGATGCTGGGAATCGAACCCGGGTTGGCCGCATGCAAGGCAAATGCCCTACCCGCTGTGCTATCGCTCCAGCCCCATCCCTGGCCTTGTCCTTGCCCGCCAGAGTGGGGGCCTGTCAGCATCACGTCCTGCCCCCTCCCCCTAGGCCTCAGCAGTCACTAACAGCACCTCCAAGGCAGGCCCCACCTGTGGGCTGCCAGGGCACCCCAGGAGTGTGGGGCCCTGTGGGGGGGCCCAGAGGGGTGGGGGGGGACCCCTTGTCCTTTGTCATCTCTGTCCCAAGGTCCCAGGCCTTTGGGTGGCAGTGAGGAAGGATGCAGTGCCGGATGCAGAGAGTCTGGGCTGGACCCACTTCCAGGGGTCTCCCTGCCTCCCTCCACCCTCCCTCAGCTGGGCTCCAAGGGCCGGTCAGGGTTAAGTGCTCACTGAGGGTCACCATGGAGGGGCCATGCTTTCACAGGGGCTCTGAAGATGGCTCAGAACGGGTGCCTGCCGGGTCCCTGCTCTGTGCCTCAGCTGCCCTGTCTGCTAAGCAGGCGCACAGTCAGCCGTGCTCTGGTTAGGGCAGGTCAGAGGGCAGGGCTAGAGCGGTCCCTGGAGGCTCGTCCACTGAGCGCAGTTGGCCAGTACCTAGGAGTGCCCCCCCCCCCCCCACTCTGCCAAGATTGCAGGGCAGTGGGCAGTGCAACAGCACAGCAGGGAGTGTGTCAGCCTCCCACCAGCCCGCCCAGGGTCTATCTCCAGCACCCGACACGGTCCCCCCCAACCAGGAGTGAGCCCTGAGCACCACTGAGGCCCCCAAACCATCCCCAAACCAAAAACATTGCAGTAGGCCCGGAGAAACAGTGCAGGGGGTAAGGCGCTTGATTTGCACGCAGCCTCTGCAGTTTTGAATCCCAACACTGTGCTCCTCTGAGAACTCCACCTGTGGCTCCCCCCACCCCCAACAACAAGAACAACAACAACAAAAAAAAAGAGGTCAGAGACAGCTCGAATAGCTACAGTGCGCACGGGGGAGCCCTGGTTTGACCGTCATCCCGGTCCCCCAAGCACGGCTGGGAGTCGCAGGGGTGGCCCCTGAACGCTACTGAGTATGGCCCCAAACCAAAGCGAAAGCACAGAAGCGACACTTCTCCTTCCTTAGTCAACTCCTCGGTTCTATTCAGAGAGCAGGGACAGGGTGGGAGATTCAGGCTGCGTTTCCTTTGCAAAGCGCTAAGAACAAGCTAAGAGCCCACGGCCCCCGTGTCCGGCATGTCACGAGCATCCGGTGGTGTCTGGAGGCGTCTGTGGCACTTCCTGGGACAAGAAGCCTCCCGGTGACACTGGCGGACCTGAGCCGAAGCTCCTCCTTGCCCCCGAGGGGTGCCCCTGCCTCGCCTGCTCCCGTGGGCCACAGTGTGGGGTCTAGTCTGCCTGGATTCTGACAGAACAGCTGAAGAGACGCCAAAGGGGTCTCTGCACCGTGGGTCGCCTCTCCAGCCTGCCCTAAACTGCCTTTCTCGAGGCCTGAGCAGCCTGCACCCGTACCCGACCCGCACTCTAACCCTCACCCTCAATCACCCGCACCCTCACCCTCACCCTCACCCTCACGGTCCCAACAGCCCCTCCCCATGCTGAGGTGTGGGCCTCACTCTTCAGGTCTAGCCGGGCCTCGGAAGACCGGTTGGGTGGGCCCCGCGGGAGGCAGAGCTGGCCGGGCACAGGTACAGGTGGGGACAAGCCCTGGGAGACAGGGCCGGGAAGGGGGCGGAGGGTGGTGGCCCAACCTCACACTGCTTCGACCCTTCCCCTATCCCAAGCATCTTCTTCGGGGTGTTCCAAAGACCCCTGGTGGCTGTCCGGGGCTACTCCTGGCTCTGTGCTTGGGATCGCTCTTGGAGGTGCTCGGGGGACCAGGGTGTGGGGTGGCACTGAACGCTCCACCCGGAGCCTTGTTCCTGAGATCAAAACCACCTGAGTCACCGCTGTGATAAAGTCACGGGTCGGGTCACTGATTAGCGCCGAGTCTGGCACCAGCCCTTCCGCTTCTTCTCCACCACACACCCCTAATCCTGAGAGTGAGTCAAGCTGTGTCCAGCCTGAGCCACACCCCAAAGGCCAGCCTGTCCCCCTCCCCTAGGTCCTTGCTCCCCACGTCTCTTTCGTCAGCAGCGTCCTGGGTCCTCTGGGTACAGTGCAAGTACACAGGCCGAGGGGACACACAGAGGCCTGAGTGTGTCCACACTTGGACCTGAGGGGATGAACACATGCCTGAGGGAATGCACAAGGGCCTCAGGGGACGCTCAGGGGCCCGAAGGGGAAACACAAAAGTCTGAGAGGACACAAATGGATTTGAGGGGACATACACACAGGCATGAGGGGACACACACGGGCCTGAGGGGATTCACACATGGCTGAGGGGATGCACATAGGCCTGAGGGGGACACACATGAGTCTGAGGGGACACTTAAGGACCTTAAGAGAGACACACAAGGGCCTGAGGGGACACACACTCACAGGGGACACAGATTAAGTCTTAAGAGACACATGAGTCTGAAGGGACATGTTGGCCTTAGAGGACACAGACACATACAAGACAGAAACAGGCCTGAGGAGACTTACGGGTCTGACTAGACACAGACACACACACACACACACACACACACACACACACAGACACGGGCTTGAGGAGACACATGGTCTAAGAAGGCAAATACAGAGGCCTGAGGGGATACACACACACACACACACACACGAGCCTGAAAGGACAATGGCCTGAGGTAACACACTGGTGATTAAGGGACACACATGCCTGAAATGACACATGGACCTGAGGGGACACATATGTGCCTAAGGGGCACACGCCTGCATACACAGGCACACCTGCGGAGTCACCCATGCTTTCAGGGCACACACCTGTCACCTGCTTCTCTCTGCTCGCACCCCAACAACTTTCTTGGTCTGTTCCTCCCCTAGCCGTGGCCTCCATGGGCCGGACACTGACTTGTCCTCAGGCCACGTCCTGCCTGAGGGGCCCCAAGATTCTGGGATCCGGAGCCTCTGTCGCGAGGGGCCTCCTCTTCGTCATGTGGGCTTTGGGTGCTTCTCCCCGCGGACACCCAGTTGTTCCCTGCAGCCAGGGCCTCTCCCTCCCACAACTTCCAGTTGCCATGGACACCCCAGCAGGGCTCCAAGCAGCTTCCGATCCCCACCCCCATCCTGCAGTGCTGCGCTCCCCTCCCAGTGCTCAGTGCCCCAGAAGTGGGGACCGCTCCTCATGACCCCCAGAGATGCTCTGTGCACTTCTCTCCACCCGAGGTAGCACATGCGCTACGTCAGCGGGCTCAAGGGGAGGGTTCCCCTGGGGCTGTGAGGGTGGACCCTGCAGGAGTGACCCCCAAACCAAACCAAACCAAGAAGGCTGTGCTGATGCCCCGGGTCTAGACCCCCTCCCACCTGCCTCCGCCGCCCCCCCCCCACTCCCTCCTAAAGGACAACCTGTCCCGGCGCTGAAACCTGTAATCCCAACCATTTCCACCAGAGCCAAGCTGGTCACTGTGGGACACGGGACAGCTGGGGCCCTGCCCCAACGAGGGTTGCACCCACAGGAACCCTCACCATATTTCCTGACACAGAGCAGAACTGCACAGTGGCTGGGAGGGAAATCACTGCTGCCCCCGAGTCAAGGGGGCCTGGACCCCCACGGACCCCATCTGGCCACAGGGCTCTCCGCAGTGGAGAGTCGGGGTAGCAGGGAGCCCCAGCCAGCCAAGAGGGGCCTGTGGAGGCGACCCAGCCACGCCTGCTGCCACTCGGGTCAGCCCTGACCCGTCTTGGGATGGCCTTTGGGCCCCCGTGCAGTTGTCCTGTCCAACTCAGATATCCAGATCCAGAGTCCCAGGGGCTATAAGGCCACTGCCCTAGGGCTGTAAATGTCGGGGTTTCCATGAAGCTGGGCCCCAGCAGTGTGTTGGGCACAGAGCACCGCGGATGGGGTCGCAGAACGGAGATCCCTTTAGGAGGTGCTGGGGCCTGAGCCTGCACAGATGTCCTGCTGCTGCTGGCCACCTGCCCAGCCGGGCCGTTCCCGCGGACGGGCAGCGGCAGTGCAGGGACCAGCCGGCAGGGGGCGCGGCCTGCCCGGGGGAGTCCGCGGGAGTCCGGGGCTCGCTCCGTGGACGCAGGAGGTTCCGCGGATCGCCGGGGAACCGCTCCCCAAGGTCACGGGTTCGGCGCGGCGGGGAACTGGACTCCGCCGAGCGGGGCGAGCGAAGCCACGCAGGGGAGACCCGTGCAGCCAGCAGCTGCTCCTGCCCGGGAACCTGTCCAGGGACGGCCGCCGCGGGAGGCCCAGCGCGGCCCGCGCTTCCGGGAGCCCCGCCCCTCCCGGGCCCGCCCCTCCCGCGGGCCCCTCCCAGGCCCCGCCCCGCCCGCCGGCCCCGCCCCGCCCCGCCCGCCCGCGCCCTCAAGTTTCTCCAACTTTTCCGCGGGCCCCGCTGGGCCCCGCCCCCGACGGTGACGTAACAATGGTGCAGCGCGGTGGCCAATCAGCGGCGGCGAGGGCCGGCGGCGCGGGCCAATCGGCGGCGGCGCACGGCCCCGCGGTCCTGCCCGGCCGGGCCGCACTGCGCCGCCCGCCGCCCGCCGGCCGCCCGCGCCTGCCCCGCCGCGCAACCTTCGCGCCGCGGCGGCCCAGAGCGCGGCTGCGGCGGGCGCGGGCGGCGGCGCCTCCGTCCCGCTCCGCCCGACACCTGCTCTGTCCTGTCCGGGACCCCAGGCCGCCGCCCGCACGGTGAGTCTCCGGCCGGGCCGCCGCCCCCTTCCGCCCCCCGGCGCCCGCACGCGCAGGTACAGCCCCCGCCGCGCCGCCCCCTGCCCGCCCCCCGGCCTCGCCCGCCCGACGCCGCGCCCTGCCCGCCGGGAGTCGGGGGCCCCCTTCGCGGACTCCCGCTGACGTGGGGCGGCCGGACTTTACGTAACACGCCCGGCGTCCCGCGGGTGTCCACACGGGGCACCTGGGGCGTCGAAACCCCGGCGCGCCGGGACTGTCCCCCCGCCCACCGCCGTAACTTAGTTACCGACGGGGACCTGGAGGGCTTAGAGGACAAGGTCAGGGCGCGGGCCGGGCCCCTCCGGAACGAGCCTCTCGCCCGACTGCACCGGCTGACCTTGGGCAGTCGGGCCCATGGGCAGTGGTGACAGCCGCGCCCCAGCCCCAGGCTGGGGAGACCCAGGTTGACTGCGCCCACTCGCGACACCCGCTGCAGTGGCTTGGGTGGGAGCTGGAGCGCCCCTTCCCGCTTTCTTCCAGATGCGGAAGCTGAGGCCGGGAGTGGCAGGGGGCGCGCCGCACTAGGATCGGGCACCGCAGGTAGGTGTGACGGCCCCGTGCCCCCGCAGACCCGGGGCGCAGGGGCGCAGGCTGTGGGGGGCACTTGGCCCAGCGGGGGATGAGGCGCTGCTCTCCTGCCCCCACTTGCAGCCAGCCTGGCCTTGCCCTCCTTTCGGGTGGGGGCGTGGGGTCCCGTGCCGGCGGAGGTGCCAGGGGAGAGTCTGGACCAGGAGGCGGGGAGGCTCGGGCCGGGGCCTGCGCGGGCTGGGTGGAGGCCAGACGGCGCGCGAGTCGCGGGGTCCCTGGCTCTGACCGCCACCCCTCTGCCCGCAGGTGCCGGAGCGGGGTACCCGCCGCCGCCAGCCAGCCGGCCAGCCAGCATGCCGTGGGACGCGCAGCGGCCCGGGGGCGCGGACGGCGGGCCCGAGGGTGCGGGCGCGGCGCGCTGGCGGGCGCAGAAGCAGTGCCGCAAGTCGTCCTTCGCCTTCTACCAGGCCGTGCGCGACCTGCTGCCCGTGTGGCTGCTCGAGGACATGCGCGCCACGGAGGCCTTCCACTGGGACGAGCGCGGCCGCGCGGTGGCCTACTCGCCGTCGGAGGCGCTGCTCTACGCGCTGGTGCACGACCACCAGGCCTACGCGCACTACCTGCTGGCGTCGTTCCCGCGCCGCGCGCTCGCGCCGCCCAGCGCCGGCTTCCGCTGCTGCGCCGCCCCGGGCCCGCACGTGGCGCTGGCCGTGCGCTACAACCGCGTGCGCGTGCTGCGCCGCATCCTGCGCACCGTGCGCGACCTGCCGGCCGACGAGCGCGCGCGCCTGCTGGACCGCCGGGGCTGCGGCCGCGTGGAGGGCGGCGGCACGGCGCTGCACGTGGCCTGCGAGCTGGCGCGCCCCGAGTGCCTCTTCCTGCTGCTCGGCCACGGCGCCTCGCCGGGCCTGCGCGACGGCAACGGCCTCACGCCGCTCGAGGTGCTGCTGGGCCAGCTGGGCCGCGACGCGGCGGAGCCGGCCGCCCCGGCGCCCCCGGCCGCGGCCCCCGGCGCCCCCGCCGAGCCCCGCCAGCGCCGCCTGCAGCTGCTCGAGCTGCTGGTGCTGTACACGCCCGCGGGCGCCGCCGCCCCGGCCCGCCGCCAGCTGCTGGGCGACCGGCCGCGCTGGCAGCGGCTGCTGGGCGAGGACAAGTTCCAGTGGCTGGCCGGCCTGGCGCCGCCGTCGCTCTTCACGCGCGCCATGCAGGTGCTGGTCACCGCCATCGCCCCCGGCCGCTTCCCCGAGGCCCTGGACGAGCTGCCGCTGCCGCCCTTCCTGCAGCCCCTGGACCTCCTGGGCAAGGGCTAGGCCGGCCAGGACTGGTTTCCGAGCGCTGTATCCGGCACTTTACATACACGGATGTCTGTCCTGCGTTTCTCGACTCTCTGTCGCGGGCGCCGTGGGCTGCGTCTCGGCCGGGGAGCACGGCGGGGCCCCGCGGGCACGTGCACCCGTTCGCGCAGTCCCAGGAGGCCCCCGTGGGGGGTGCTCCCCCGAGGGTGCTCGGTGATGCCCTCCTGGGATCGCCCCCGCCTGGCGGATGGCTACTGCCCCCGGGTCTGCACAGGTCTGGGCTCCAGGTCTGGGCTCGCCCCGTCGCCGCCCCCCCCCCACTCCCCCCACAATTGCCCGCTGGGCCCGGTGTAGGTGGGGCGGCGCCTGACTGCCCCAGCTGGGGTCTGTGCCCAGGGTTGTGAAGATGGGGACCTGTCGGGACAGAGGCCAGGCTGGGCCAGCACCCTGAGGAGTCTCAGGCCAGGGAGTGCAGCCAGGTGTCTGCCCGACTCACCCCTGGCCTGTGAAATTCCACCCAGAGGCCATGATGTCCTGCCAGGGCCCGAGGAGTGCTGGGCAGCTGTGCCCAGGCTCAGGCGGGGCAGGAGGCCTGGGCAGTGGGACTGTCCCAGTAGCCTGGTGCTGGCCATCACCTGCCTCAGTGTCCCCGTTGCTCAAAGACTCAGGGCCATCTGTGAGCTGTTCCCTCCCTCCCCACAGAGGGCAACCCCTCTCCTGGGTAGAGGGGGTCAGGTAGGGAGGCACCCAGGGTGTTAACCCCCGTGTACACAGGCACATGGTGGGGAGTGTGGGTGGGTAAGGCCAGGATCAGCCACCGCAGGGGGCTGGTTTCTGGAGGGCTCCCAGGTGGAGGCCCCAGCATGCGAGGATAAGAGCCAAATTGTGTTATCTGAGGCTGGCGCTGGAGGAAGGAGGGCGGTGTGCCCCGTGGCTATCAGGTCCTTGGGGCCTCTGGTGTAGGCATAGGACATACACCGCCAGCTGCTGCCATCTATGGCCTGTGCATTTCCCTTATGAACCAGCTCTTGGCCAGAGCTGCCCATGTGCCCACCAGGAGCCAGTGAAGGCAGCCTCAGAGTTGGGCAGCTTCAGGTGAGGGTGGACTTGAAGGTCAGGCCTTGTCCCCAGGGCACTGTGATTCTGTGGGATGGACCTCCCAGGGCACCCCTGCACGTGGGATGTGGTGATGGCCCTGTGCTGGGCTTACTGTGCCCACCAAACATCACTCCCCAGAAAATATACCTCCCCTCCTTTTCCCCTTTGATTACACTAACTTTTAAGCACCCCAAGACAGCACTTTTTTTTGGGGGGGAGGGGCTTTTTGCGTCACACCTGGTGATACTCGGGTTACTCCTGACTCTCTAGTCAGGAGTTAGTCCCGGTGGTGCTTGGAGGACTGTATGGGATGCCGGGGATCAAACCCAGATTAGCCGAATACAAGGCAAATGCCCTCCCTGCTCTTCTGTTGCTGTGGCCCTGACGGCACTGACTTTTGTTTCTGGGTCACACCTGGAGATATTCAGGAGTTACACCTGGCTCTACGTTTCAGGAATTGCTCCTAATGGTGTTTGAGGGACCATATGGGATGCTGGGGATCGAACTGGGGTTGACTGTGTGCAAGGCAAGTGCCCTACCCACTATACAACTGCTTTGGCCGCAAGACCACTTTCTGAGATGGCCCCAATGGACATTCGGGGTGTCCAGTGCAGAGGCTGTTGGGACTGAGCACCAGGCACTGGGCATCCCAAGGACGAGTCGGGCCGAGGTGGAAGGAGTCTGGGCACTGCACTGGAGCTGCTGTCTGCAGACACAATTTTCAGTGCCTAACTTTCTGCCTGTTGCAGCCCTGCTCTTGGTGGACACCCACTTGTGTTTGATCAGGGGCCCCAGCCTGGGGATCCCCCCGTGTTGTCCACCTGCCTCCCCACTGTAGTCCAGCATGGGGGTCCTTGGGCTGTACACAGATGTAGCTGTCAGGCAGTGTGTAGTTTGGGTTGGAGCCACACCTGACAGTATCAGAGGACACTCCTGCCTGTGTGGCCCATGACAGTGCTGGGTGAGGGTGGGCACGGTTCACTTGATACCACGCACCGAACCCAGTTCTCCTACATGCAAAGCAGCACTCAGTGATGAGTCTGCTCCCAGCCAGGCCATGAAAAGGTGATCTTGGACTTGGGAATGACACCTGCATGTGACTCAGCAAAGGCAGAGGAAGCAGGTCTCTCAGCCGTGGTTGCTGTGGGTGCTGGGAGGGGCTTGTCCTATTGCTGGCCGTGGGCCTGTTGGGTGTCCCTGCCCCTCCCTCCACTTCACATGCTGCCGTCATCGCTTCTGGCAACCCAGGGTGACAGGAGACGGAGACTGATGGCAGCCAGCAGCACTCTGGATCCCATGTCCCAAGTCTCCCTGCGTGACCTTGGGCCAGTGACCTCTTTGCTCCTGGAGAGGCCGGAGGCTTCTGCCCATGAGAGCTGCATCCCGGGAGTGTCTTCCCTCTGGAGAAGCCCGCTTCTTGGACACGTTTCTCTCCCCTCACTTTTGTTTTGGGGCCACACCTGGAAGTGCTCAGGACTTACTCCTGGCTCTGTGCTCAGGGACCACTTCTGGATGGACTTGGGGGATCATATGGGATGCGGAGGATTGAACGTGGGTGGGCTGCATGTGAGTCAAAGGCCCTCCCCATTATACTCTGGCCACCCCTCACACCTTTCTGAGTAGATTCTCACAATAAAACAGCCTAGCTTCAGAAGGCTGAGCCCCCAGGCACCCGGGCTGTCTCAGACTTCTCTGAGAGGGACTGGAGTCCTCACAACTTGGAACTCACTTCCTAGCAAGCCGGGGGCCAGAGTGTCCCGGCCAGGTTGCTGGGCCTGGAGTCAGCTGAGTGCATGCATGTGCGCACATGTGTGCATAAAGCATGTATGGAACTGTGTGTAAGTGCTGGGGGGGGGAGGGGGGCTGTGCGCAGGGGCATGTGCATACGGGTATGTGTGAGTGCCACCGCCAGAGCCAAACGGCTCTATCCCCACAGAGGTCCTGGGAGGGCATTTCTGGTACCTGCTATCTCAGACGCAAGCCCAGACTCAGGAGCCTGAGCTCTCCCAGGCCTGCCCACAGCAGAGGCTCAGGGCAGTGGGCGGGGGAGGGGAGTGGTTCCTCCCTTCCCCGAGCAGCTGGCCAGGCAAAGGCACTGACTGAGACCCACACGGAGCGGGCCCTTCTCGGCCCAGCGTCAGACTCGACCAGGTTTGGAAAAGTCCCAGTTTATTGCACTGTCTCCAAGCACAGCTGAAAACAAAAACCAGAAGGTCAAGCACGGAGCTGGCCTGGAGGTGGTGCGGAGCTGCGGCTGGACTCAGCAGCGGCCCCTCGGTGTAGGAGCCGCCGAGGCAGGTGGGCAGATGCCAAGGGGCCCCCACCTCACTGACCCGCCCCGGGAACCCCCTTCCTGGCAGCTGGCCCTGTCACCGCAGTCAGAACAGCCGTGGCTGGAGGTCAGGGCTCCAGATGGAGGCCTCAGGGCCCAGCCCTCACGCTGCCACTGCCCTGCCGGGGTCCCTCTGGCGGCCACACTCGGCCTGCCCCGGTTTCAGGAATGCACGTCTGGAGTGAGCTCGACTCCAGGTGAGGTATCTGCTGCAGGGCTCAACAGCGGGAAAAGGCCGTGGCGAGGCTCCGCCTCCATGCACCCCTTGTCTGCGCCCCAGCCTGTACCGCTGCCAGAGCCTCCTCGAGGTGTGCACCTGCCCTGGCTGGGGCGGGGGGGTGCCCCACGGGGACACCTGACTGGTGCCCCACTGCAGTCTCACGCATGAAATGTGTCTGAGGTGCTGGGGGCATGGCGGCAGGCTGGGCACTGATGCATTCCCTGGCTGGTGCCCTGCCTGGCTCTGGCCGGTCCTGCCCGCAGGAGTGTGTAGCCCTGCTGGGCGGGTGTGGACAGGGATGAGGGGATGCAGCACACAGGTAACTGCAGTGCATGCAACGGGGCACCACAGCCCCCAGTCCCCCCCCACCAGGGTCCAGGGGTGCCGCCACCATAACCGTGGTGGTGTCGGGGGGAGAAGCTTGTGGGGCTCCGAACTGACCGGGCATGTCGCAGCAGCGCGGCCTCGCTGCTCCCTGGGTGCTGGTGGCGCGGCCTTCAGATGACCTCCCACTCGTCCTCCAGCTCCTCGGGGTGCGGTGCACTGGCCGGGCTGCTCTGGGCCCCGTGCCCGTGGCTGAAAGTCCTCGTGAGCCGCTGGAGGAGGGCGCCGGCGGGGCCCACGGCCCAGAGCTCGTCTGCTGTGGTCACTGTGGGGGCAGGGGAAATGTGTGTCAGCTCCCATGGTGGCCGCTCTGCCTCCGAGCCACCCGCCTGCCCCAGGCCGCCCCCTTGCCTGTGAGGCAGGTGGCGCTCCCCGGGACCTTCTTCCAGTAGTCTCCCGCCGGGTTCTTGTCGCTGATGCCGTAGCGGCGGGCCAGGTCACCGTTGGGGCAGCGGGCCCACACGGTTCGCGGGCTCAGTGCCAGCTGGCACGCCTGCAAGCCTGTGGGTGGACGGGCCTGTGGGTCTGGCTGCGGGAAGGCCACCCCGCCCCCAGGTCTGTGGCAGGGGCTGGCAGGGACGCCTGGGCAGCACCGGCACCCACCTGGCACGTGCTCCCAGTCGGTCCCCACGGGCATCTCCTCCGTGATCCCCACACGCACGTGCACATTCCACCTGCTGTCCAGTGCCCACAGCATCTGGTCATTGGGGCTGGAGTGTACGCTGACCAAGGTCACCCCAGCGGGCTGCGAGAGGAGGGGGTGACATCCTTAGGGGAGGCAGGAACGGGGCTGGGGACGAGGGCGGGAGGCTGGAGGGCTGAAGTGGTCAGTGACAAGGGGCAGCCCCGGGGAGGGAGACCAAGGGTCCCTGTGCCCACCCACCTGCCCACCCTGAGGCCAAAAGAAGGCTTGGGGGTCTGGGCAGCCAGAGGTGGCGCGTGACAGCGACTAGGATGCAGGTTTGGGTGCTGAGGGTGTCACGGGCCAACCTGTGCTGGAGACAGCACATGTGGTCAGGGGCTCGGACGAGGGGCGGGTCTGTGGCACCCACTCCTACGCCCTGCACTGGGGCCACAGCCCCCAGAGGCCCAGGAAAGACCATGGGAGGGAAAGGCTGGAGCCAGTCTGAGGGCAGAGGGGTCCAGAAGCAGCATGTGGAGATGCTCCTGAGTGTCGTGAGGGTCCCGCTGGTCACCTGGTACCCAAGACATGGGGCCAGAACCAAACCCCACGGCAAAGCACATGGAGCTGGAGGACCAGAACAGGGATGGCCTCGCACCCCGCCAACCCAGTTTGATCGCCAGCACGACACAGGGTTCCCAAGGGTTGCCAAAGGTGACTCCTAAGTACGGAGCCAGGAAAAGCCCCTGAGCACCACTGGCTGTGGCTCCCGAACCAGAACCAGGCCCACAGAGGCCGGGTCCCCAACGTCCGGGAAGGTCCTTTCCCCTGCAGTGCTGCTGACGAAGGTGACCCTCTGAACTCAGAGCAGACACGGCTGCAGTGAGACAGCACAGGAGGCTCTGGCCTTGCACGGGAGACCTCTCACCCGCAGCGGCACAAACGGTCGCGTGATCCCTGGGCTCAGAGCTGGAGTGAACCCTGAGGCTGGCGCTCCCATGCTGTACGCAGCGCCCCTGGTCTGATGCCGAGCCCTGCGTGCGCGTGGGCCCGCAGGACTGCTGGATGCGGCCCACTCCCGCCCCCTCCCTAAAAGATGTGCTTTGGAACTGGAGCAAAGTACAGAGGGTAAGGCCCTGGCTGCGCATGAGGGTTCGGTCCCCAGCATCCTATCTGGTCCCCCAAGTGCCACCAGAAGTGATTCCTGAGTGCAGTGCAGAGCCAGGAGTAACCCCTGGGCGTAGCTGGGTATGGCTCAAAACAAAAGAAACTCCCAAACTCTCAACCCCACCCTCGGGGCTCTGTGAGGGAGGCGCCCGGTGCCCGCCTTCCTCCATGGGTCCTGTGGAACCCATGGCAGCCCTCTACTCCTAGACCCTCCACTGCAGGCCAGGCAGCTGCGTCACGGCTGTGTCCTGTCTGTCTCTGTCCTGTGTCAGCAACAACTGCACCCCACCGAGAGGGCTGGGCCAGGGGGCGGGATGGGTGGCCAGGGACCTGCAGGGGGCAGGCGGGTGGAGGGAATCGGGAGTCCCAGAGGTCTGAAAGAATCGAGGGACCCACACATGGTGGAAAGCTCCTGCGGAGGGACAGTGCCAGGAGGCAGGGAGGCCCCTGGATCACTGCCGTATTTCGTACCTGCAGAGACCAGCAAGCACAGACACGAGCACAGAACACCCCGCAGAGGTCCTGGGTGTGCCCCCGCCCTGCCTCCCTGAAGCTGACCCACACACAGGTCTATCATGCTGGGAAACGAGCCCCTGCCAGGGATGGTGGGGGAGCCTGTATGGGGTCACTGGGACTAGGCAGCTTGTGCGCACGCTTGCACTGGCCCCCTTTCAAACTCTGGGGATAGACAAAACTTTGAGCTAAACTCCCAGGTGCGTGGTGCTGGCTGGTGGGGGTTACCTTTAAAGAAACACTGTTCGATGCGCTGTCAAGTAGGCCAACCCTGCAGACTGCAGAGAATATTTGCCTACCACTCATCAGAGAAAGGGCTGGTATCCGAGGTGCAGAAACACCAGGAGAGGCTAGAGCGACAGGGCAGTGGGAGAGCGATTATCTTGCACGCAACTGACCCAGGCTCAATCCCTGGCACCCCACATGGTCCCCCGAGCACACCAAGAGTGATTCCTGAGTGCAGAATCAGGACTAACCCCGAGCACTGCCAGGCGTGGCTCAAGTCAAAACCAAACCAAACATACAAGAAAAAAAAAAAACACCTCCCATTGGTAGAAATCTACAGTGGAAAAAACCATCCAGCCCCACCAAAAAACAGGGAGAAGAGTTAAACAGAAACTTCCTCAAGATATACAAATGCCCAAATGGCACTTGAAAAAATGCTCGGTATCACTAATCATAAGATATCTGCAAATAAAAATGAGATAGCACCTCCCTAGACTGGCACTCATTAAAAACAAAAACTAGGAACTGGGCTTCTGTACAGCCTGATAATCCCGCTCCTGGGCTTGTATCCACCTGCAGCGGGCCTGAGAGAAAACACTGGGCTGTCTGGCACTCTGTGACTCCGAACTGAAGAAATGAAATAAATAAATGAACGCAGACCTCTTTCTAATGCCATGCACAAAAGTCAAGTCAAAATGGATTAAAGACCTTGATATCAGACCTGAATCCATAAAGCTCACAGAGAAAAACATAAGCAGAACTCTCCATAGCATTGAAGCTAGAGGCATCTTTAAGGATGAAAAAGCACTGGCCACAAAAATGGAAGCAAAGATAAATAAAGGGAATCACATTCCATTAAGCAGCTTCTGCACCTCAAAGGAAACAATGACCAGAATACAAAGGCAGCCCACACATTGGGAGAAATGATCTGCCCATCAAACATTTGATAAAGGGTTAATATCCAAGATACAAAAACCACTGGTAGAACTTTACAAGAAAAAACATCCAACCCCATCAAAAAATGGGGAGAAGAGATGAACAGAAACTTTCTAGCACTGCTGGTGTGGCCCCAAAACAAGAAGAAAGAAAGGGACGATGGGGGGGAGAGGGAGGGAAGAAGGGAGGGAGGGAGGGAGGAATAAAGAAAGGGAGGGAGGGGAGGAGGGAGGGAGGGAGGGAGGCAGGCAAGGAGGGAGGCAGGGAGGGAGGAAGGAAAGAAGGAGGGAGAGAGGGAGGGAGGAAAGAAGGAAGGAAGGAAAGAATCAAATTATTTTTTTGAGAAGGGTAAATTATGGGGCCTGACTAAAGTCCGAGGCCTGCTCTAATTGCCCGGAATGTGGGGGCCTCAGAGCTTGATGGGGGGTGGGTGCCACAAACAGTGGGGTAAGAGTGACCCTGCGGTGGCCCAGCTAGGCCTTAGGGACAAGGCAAGATCACTGGACCCCTTCTGAGCAGCTGCAGCACCCAGAGACTGACTCCGACCCCGGAGAAGAGTTCAGGGTCCAGGCAGGTTGTTTGCTGGCGGCTGTCCTGGCAGTGCAGGAGAGTCCAGCTAAGTCCTGTTGGCTGTGGGCATCTCTGAAGATGTCCGTGTGCCAAGGCCCATCAGTTGAGACTCCTGGCCATGCTCTGGGAGCACTGGTGGGTACCCACTTCCACCGCACTCCTGGGGGGCCCCCAGCATCGGGCCTGGAATTCTGGGATGCAAGAATCTCTCTCCTCCAGCAGTGCAGGACCCTGGAGAAGGCACGGGGGGCAAGGCCAGTGACCAGGGGCTGGAAGGGTATGGAGAGTCCCGGGGGAGAGGTGGGCTGGGTGCCATGTGTGCCCGTGAGTGACTGCCAGCATGGCCACACCATCCTGCAGCTGAAGCAGCAAACTCGGAGATGCTCGGCATGACTATAAATATTCCCCATCCTCCCAAGCGTGGCACTGAGTCATTTGTTTTGAGTTCTTTGCCGAGACGTCGACCCGAGTGGGCTGGAGGAGGGTGGCTTTTCCTGGGAGTGCTGGGAGACAGGGGCGTGCAGGAACCCAGGTCCGACTATGGTGGACAGGCCCAAGCAGCAAGTGGACCATGAGGTCCAAGCCTGCTTAGCAGCAGCAGGTGGGTCCGCACCCGAGAAGTTGGCCCTGCACCATGCCAGGCCGAGGGGTCCCCCAGACCGGTCTGCCTGCGGAGAGGCCGAGCTGGGAAAAGTGCTGGGTGGAAATCTGTGTCAATGGAGAGCCCGACTCCATGGGGGCATCACACTGATGGAAGCCCCCTGACCGGTGCCCTGAGGAGGGACCAGGACTCACTCCCACAGCCTGTCTGGCAAGTTCTGCATCACTCAGCATAAGCTTGCAGGCCAAGGGGCTGGAGAGTAAGTGCAGAGGAGAGGGCTCCTGCCTTGCATATGGCTGACCCAGTTCAATCCCTGGCATCCCGGAGTTCCCAAGTCCCCCTGGAGTGATCCCTGAGTGGAAAGCCAGGAACGAGACCTGACACAGTCAGGTGCGGTCCCCTCGCTTACCTGCACTGGGGGCTCGATCATAATCCAGGCTGGAAGCATCAGACTGGGGTTCAAAGGCTGGGTCCCCACACGGAAGTAAACTCCACCCCTAGAGTCACAGGCCCAGACATGCTGGTTTCCACATGCCAAATTGGTCAGCTTGATGGAGCCTGTAGGCAAGCAGAGTGACGGTCATGGACTCGGATTCTGAACATCAGGATAGGGTGACGCTGCACATGAGCTCTGCGACTGAGAATGCCCCTGTCCTGGGCTGGAGAGGCACTGGCCTTGCAAGCAGCAGACACACATTCGACCCCCCCGACACCCCATATGGTCCCTAAAGCCCTGTGCTCACTGAGCACAGAGCAGAGATAAACTGGGGTAGGAAAGAGCTTGAGCATTGCTGGGTGTGGCCAAAATACTCTTCCAACCCCTGGAAAAAGAAATGTTTTTTAAAAACTGGTATTTGGTTATGCCAGCAAATAGAGCATCAGTGAGAGTTAGCTAGCAGGGCAGACAGTCAGGTTCCTGGATAGTGTTTCAACCTTTCAAATGTGCAGCAAGAGTTGCTGTTGTTCATACCTGAGGTTCAGGCCCCAGCAAGGTCAGACAGACCCAGATTCCCCAGAGATGGACCTAGGCGACCCAGAGTGAAGGGTGCTTGATTCTCTGTGCTTGGTTCCCAGGGCTGGAACTCGGCATTTGAGGACGTACCAGTGTCCTCCCTGCAGACAGCTCCCTGTCCCTCTGGGCAATGAGTCTGGTCTAGAGGCCACGGGCCAGAACCAGTATGTCCGCTCCTGGTCTGGTGCCTCTCTCTCAGGGGACTGAACCTGTCCCTTTCCCAAAGGCCATTTCCTGGGGCATGAGGCAGGCTTGCCAGTCACCTCATGACCCTCTGGTCATTTCCACACTGGTGCTGGGGAGTCAAACTCCGATGGCCATCCCTGTAGACATTGCCGGTGAATGTGTGCTGCTTTTCTGACTGAGATGAGGTCCAATGCATGTGTACCTTTAGCTCTGGTTTTTTTTTATTGCTCTGGGCTAATCACTCAGCGATGTTCAGTGTTGACTCCTTGCTCTGTGCTCTGGGGACCATACATGGTGCCAAGGATCAAACCGGGTTGGCTGCACGCAAGACAATGCTCTATCCTCGGGATCTCTCTGCCCCCCACTACCTTTAGTTGGACAGAAACTGGTTTTCCTGTCTAACTGGTCCCATGCCTCGGCAGTGGGCACTGGCTACCCATGACCTCACCAGCATTGGGTTTGGGTACTAGGGCACTCTGTCAGTAAGAGGCTCTGGCCAAAGGGCTGTAAGAAGTGACTCGTCTCTGCTAAAAGAAGCAGAAGCGAGCAGGCAGCAGGCCGGGAGCGAGAGCAATGCAGTGAGACCAGTGAGCCTCCCGGAGACAGTCTACAAGGGCACGGGCGGGTGAGAGCAGTGCTGGAGCGTCATGCTGTTGACAAGAGTCCTGTCATGAGCACTGCCACCAACCCAGACAGGCCACAATCTTTTTGCCAAGCTGTCTGTTTTTTCCCTCCCTTTTTAACAAGTTTACCCTGTTCAACAAAGCAAAACTTCCTTTTAGTACTTCTTTTGTGTGTGTGTGTATGTGTATGTGCGCGTGTGTATGTGTGCGCGTGTGTATGTTTGGGACACACTGGGTGATGCTCAGGGGTTACTCCTGGCTCTGCACTCAGGAGTTACTCCTGGCAGTGCTCAGGGGATCATATGAGATGCTGGGGATTGAACTCGGGTCGGCTGTGTGCAAGCAAACTTTCCCCACTGTCATATTATTCGGCTCCTAGTTGCTTTTTAATTCAAAGTTTATAACAAATGTGGCTCTTATTTGGTGTTTTACTACCAATAAAAAATGTCTGTGTAAATTACTGTATAATGTAATCTGATTTGTAAACTAGAGGCAGAAACTGACAATGAATATTTCTTCATTAAATGCTGTGACCAAATGAATTCAGCTACAATTTGCAACTGTTGCTAAACATTCTAACACTTGACATAATACATATTTATGGAAATATTATATGAACCTTAAATATTTGCTAAATGATGCAAATTCTCTTCCAAAAATTAGCAACTGTAAGAAATCAAAATATCATCTTCATACCCCAGACCTGGATTTGTGTCCAAGGCTTAAGAATTCTGGACTGAGGGCTGGAGCAAAAGGTTGGCATCTGCCTTGCAGGTGACCAACCCAGGTTCAATCCCTGGAACTCCACAGGGTCCCCCGAGCCTGCCAGGAATGACTGCTGAGCTCGGAGTACCACTGGGTGTGGCCCAAAAACTAAAAGGGAAATAAAAAAACTTTTGGACTGAATCCTAAACAGCTATCAACCTGCCCCTTCTGCAGAGCACAGAAGTCGCCTTGCGTGTCTTTGGTACAGGGGTCTCATACACGGATCCGGGGCTCGCCCACACCTCTGGTTCCATGGATGCTGTGTCACGAAGTCCTAACCCATTGCAGCCCTGCGCTGCCCACGCCATGCTGGACTTTGCTCTGTGTTAGAGAGAAGCTTGGAAGTCAGGGTCTGCATGAGATGCTGGCAGCACTAACAGCCCCGCGCCTCCTGCCTCTGGCCCTGGGAGGAGGATGGCTTGGGCAGCACTGATCGCCCATCTAGCTGAGGTGACTGGGACAGTGTCTCCTACCTGCACCCCAGCAGCTCAGTGGCAGTCGGCCAGGACCCAGAAAGAGACAGGCTCGAAAGGACTCTGACATGAGTAACAAGTCACAACGTTCCTGACGGTTTCATCTGCTGGCAGAGACAAGGCTAAGCGAGTGGAGACCAAGAGAAGAGAGAAGAGCACCCCACAGTCTGAGAGGAGAGCACCTATAGCCTGAGAGGAGAGCACTCAGTCTGAGAGAAGAGCACCCAGTCTGAGAGGAGAGCACCCCAGTCCGAGGGGAGAGCACCCTGTCTGAGAGGAGATCACCCACAGTGTGAGAGGAGAGCACCCACGGTATGAGAGGAGAGCACCCAGTCTGAGAGGAGAATACCCACAGTGTGAGGAGAGCACTCAGCCCGAGAGAAGAGCACCCAGTCTGAGAGGAGAGCACCCGTCTGAGAGGAGAGCACCCACAGCCTGAGAGAAGAGCACCCAGTCTGAGAGGAGAGGACCCAGTCTGAGAGGAGAGCACCCAGTGTGAGAGGAGAGCACCCATAGTCTGGGGTGAGGGGTGCTCTGCAGGTCAGGGGCACTCAGTGGGCTCTTGCCAGGCTGCAAGCGCCCATGACCAAGTTTTCTGATTTTCCTGTATCTTACTGGGCTGCTCCGGGCTCAGAGGACCTTGTGGGGCTCAGGAGAACCCAGGAGATGTTCTGGGCCTGGAGCCAGCTCCTGGCAGGGCAAGTCTGGGAAGGACACGGGTCCCCTGCCCCCAGAGCTGTCCCGTCGATGGTGGGCATTCCCAGCACACGCCTGAGTGGAACCTGTGCCCTGAGGGAGTGAGGAGATCTGTCCACCTGAGTCCAGGCCTTGCCTGCTGGCCTGGCCGACAGCACGCAGGCGCTCAGAACAGTCCTTGGCTTCGGCAGGAATCCCTGAGCAGACAAGAGGCAGGGGCTGGGTCCCATGCACAGCTGCAGGCGGCAGATGGGACACAACCAACCCTATCACCTGAGCGGGCGCCGCTCGGAGGTGTTTCAGGCACCGATGCATGTCTCGCTGGGGGACTGTCACTCCTGCGTCCCCCACAAGAACCACTGCCCAGCAGTGGGCAGGGTAGAGGCTGCAGCTGCAGAGCCCAGCAGAGAGGGACAGGCGGCGCCAGGGACACAGCAGAGCAGGGTGGACACGACACAGGGGCCATAGGGGGGTGGATACAGCACGGGGGGGGAGCAGGGGGTGGACACAGCACGGGGGAAGTAGGGGGGTGGACAGGGGGTAGACAGCACAGGGGGCAGCATAAGGGGGTGGACACGGCCCAGGCAGAGCACACCCTCAGTCACACCCTGGCTTCTTTAGCTGAGACGAGAGCTGCTTTAGTCGGTCAGAACTGTGGCAGCCAGGACAACTGACCCCTCCCCACAGCCGCACCTGAGACAGGCATCCGTGGGCTGCAGGAGGACAGACGCACCCTCCCGCTTCTCCCCTTCCTCCCTCTGGCCTCCCTGGGAGTGCTCAGCCCCCTGGCATCAGCGCCAAGCAGGAGGTCGTGGCCGCCTTGAGAGGGGTACGTGCCGCTCTCACTGGCCGCTTATTCCCGGGCTGAGTGAGTCAGCTCTGCCTGCCTGGAGACAGCAGGAAAGCAGCCGCTGGCGTGAGAGAGTGGCTGGTCTAGGAGGGCAAAGTGCGCTGTGCCACATCAAAGATGCCAAGTCCACAGACCGGCAGAGATAGCTGCACCCCAGGAGTTTCCAGCCACTGACTCCCAGGCCCCAAGACCTGGGCCCTGAGGAAGGGAGCAGAGCGCCCCGAGAGCCAGAGCTCATTTCCTCTGACAGTGGCCGGCCCACTCCTGGGATCCGGCCACTGATGCAGTATCATGCGAGGATTCACACAGTCATGCCGACGGCACACGTCACGGCACGAGACGGCCATACCTAGCTGGGACAGGTCCAGCCTGGTCCAGGTCATGCCCGTGGGGCAGCTCTTGGACAGGGTCCTGATGAACACCTGCCCGAGGCTGTCCAGGGCCCAGAGTGCGTCCTGGCAGGCGGCGTAGGCCCGCATCTCGGCGTCGGGCGGCAGCTGCACGGTGGACGGGCGGGCCTGCGCGCTCTGGGCGCTCACGCTGCACAGGTCCTTGCTGCCCTGGCACAGCCACAGGGAGCTTCCTGCAGAAGAGGGCCGCCTGTCACTTGCAGGCAGATGCTCGGCGTCCCACCCCCAGCGGCAGGAGGCAGCCCCCATGGCGGCCCTACCCCTCCTCCTCCTCTTCCTCCTCCTCCTCCTCCTGTGCAGGCGGCTGGAGAAGGGGGACTGAGGCAGAAGTTTCACTTCCTGCTGCGGCCCTTCCCCAGTGTCGGGGCACCAAAGCCACCCTCAGCGCTGAGCCCCACGCTGTGGGCAGAGACAGCCCAGCACGCCCGCTGGACTCTGCCCAGGAGAGGCTGGTCCGCCTCAGGCGCCTTGTCACATGCCCATGGCGGCCTTCCGGCTCTCTGGTTTCTTTGGGAAGTGCAGGCAGAGCCTGGCCACTTCCCTCTTGCCCAGGGCAGTGCTGGCTCCCAAGCTGACCTGTGCCCGGGATGGAGCCCAGCTAGGGGTCAGCTGCCAGGGGCCGGGGTCAGTCCTCACCCTCAGATGTGAGAGCCCTCCCTCTGGGGACACAGACCAGGCCGCCCAGCTCGGGCACTCGCTCACAGCCACCCCCTTTGTCTAGCACCCCAGCGCGTCTGCCTGGGCAGTGGTTGTAACTTTTCACCTGCTGTGCACTGTGCCTCTCAACCAACCTTCCTTTGTGGGGGCCGTGGACGCCAACACAAAGGCCCATTTTGTGGTGGACGCCGTCCCTCGGGGCACGACAGCATTCCAGTGGGTGCCTAGGGAGAGAAGAGGGCACAGGTCCAAGGGCGGCCACCGTGCCAGCTCCCTCCGGCACTCCCGGGGCTTCAGGCAGCAGGACCTGAAACAGGGCCATGCCCTGCTCACAAGTGACTACAGCTGGCCACATCATAGTGGCAAGAATACCCCCAGGAGGCTGCCATGCAAGGGTCCGGTGGTGAGAATGGCGTCAGTATTCCTGGCCCACCCTGACCCCTCCAGACCCTGCAGGGCCTGGGCCTGGTGGGCACTGTGGGAGGGGGTTGCCGAAAGATGAGAGACACCCACCGACAAGACTTCCTTTAGCGACATGGAACTCATTCTTGCCAGAGGAGATCCAGACACCACTGGCGCTCACTCCCAGGAGGCTGGGCTGGCACTGGAGCTGCTGAGACCAAAATGCCAGGCGCAGTTTGTCCGCCACCTTCTCAACGGGCACCTGGGCAGCTGTGGCCACTGAGTGTGTGGCGTGGATGATGGTCTGGAAGAGGCTGCACTGGTCGAACACCACGTAGTCTGTGATGCTCACCTGGGGACGGGGGGGGGCAGGGAGAGAAACCTGCTTGCAGTGCTGCCCTGAGCTCCCCAGTGGTCATTGCTGGGAGAAGGCGTGGCCGGGTGCCGCCAGCACCAGGCATGTAGCATACACACAGACACACACACAGTAAGACACACACACAGGCACACACACACAGGCAGGCACACACAGGCAGGCACACACACAGGGAGGCACACATGCAGGAAGACACACACGCAGGCAGGCACACACACAAGCATACTCACAGGCAGGCACACACACAAGCATACACACAGGCAAGCACACACACAGGCAGCAGGCATACATATGTGCATCACACAATGACCTGAGCACATGCAGCCAGGCCCAGTGCTTCTTTGTAATTTCTCCCGAGCCAGAAGCAGGCCTAGTTTACCCACTTTTACTGAACGCCTCTTTACAGCCAGTTTTCATTATTTCCTGATCAGACACCATCCCCTCAAGCTTCCGAGTCTTCCCAGTAAGAAGGGATCATTTTTGCCTTCAATCTAGGTACTTCCAAAGGAGATAATAAGTCTCCAATACTTAGAATAGTGATGAAAAGTTTAAGCAGATTCTAAGCAGGGTGTCAGAGTCACTCATGACTGAAGCAGAACTGGACGGTCTCATGCCCAGCGGCCTCCCCAGGGCAGCCCCGGACGCTCAGACCCACCCGCCTCGAGTCTGACGAGAGCTGGACACCGGGAAGGCTGGGGCTCTGCAGACACCAATGGTGCCTTAGGGCGCGGGTGACACCCTGGAAGACCCCGCAGGCCAGAGCACCCCCTCACACACTTTTGAGCCCCTCCTGCCGGGGGCGGGCACCAACACTCTTCTCCGGGGCGGAAACGCTGTTTACTCTGTTGCCTTTAGAGCACGCTGAGATGGGTGAATTTTAATTGTGGGTTGGGCGTCCCAGACCTATTGTCTAGCCTCTTTTCTTAGTACATTTGTTCAGCATTAAACATCATTATTATCCAGGTCTTCAAGTGGAAGTCACTGGGCTTATTTAGTGTCTAACGATGGGTTTCTCAGGAACGCCCCCGGTGAAAGGAACAGAGCCAGGTATGGAAGTTGACAGCTCACGAGGCCTTCTCTATGGGCAGGGCCTCCCCTTCCGCCTCAGTGTGACCCCCAAACACAAGAGAACAGGGGTGCTGCCATCCCTCCTGCCTTCCAGGGAGCAGGCAGGGTGATGGGGGAAGCAGTTCTAGCCCAGGGCAACTCCTGCGAAGAACCAAGCACCACCTACTTGCCACCAGTGGTCATCGTCTCCTTGGGGCTTCTTGGGCATGATGCCAGTTCGAAACCACAGGTGTCCGTGGACATCCAGGGCCCAGAGTGTCTGCTGGTCCCCGAGGGTGATGCACACTGGCTCCAAGGCCTGCCGCTCACTGCAAATGGGCCAACACAACAACACATGGGGTCAGTGCCCACACTCACAGTGTAGGGGGCTGGTGTGTGTGGGGCAATGGGCCACCTGCAGTCCTCCACTGGTCTGCTGTGCCTATATGGCAGTGTCAGAAGCACAGAGGCCCAGAGCGGAGAGCGGTGAGGACAGTGACGAGGTGTGGACAGAGCATGAGGGTGGAGTACCTCCCTCCCCCCACCAAGGAAGCAACCGAAAGCTCCCGTGCCCACACCCTCACCCCCCAGCCCTTGTGCCAGGCTGTGCCGGCCACTGCTATTGACACATCCTGCTCCTCCCCTCCATGAGGGCAGGCCTGCAGCTGTCCCCTTCAGACACCCAGCCTGGCCAGCTGGGGCCCATGACAGACACACTGAAGTTGAGTCGTTTGTAAACTGCCAGCAAAAGACCACATCTCGTTTCCCCAAGAACTCTAACAAAAGGGCTTTAATTCTGTGCCTGAAAATCTGGACAATATAAGGTGACTGTCACAATTCTGAGAGCAGATTTGACGGGGCCGACGGAAAGGAAGGTGGACATCTGGCTTTGCAGTGCCTGGAGACTGGGGGACGTCCCCAAGTTGGATGTTTTGTGGAGCACAGTCAGGAGACATGGGGACCCCCCGCAGCCTTAGAAGTGGCTCTGACCCTCCCGGGGAGCCCTGGAAGCAGCACTGCCTGGGCAGGGCCCCTGCGTACCTGACGATGTCACACTTCCACTGCTCCCCCTCGGGGCAGAAGGTGCTCACGCCCTCTCGGTACAGCAGCGCCCGCTGCTCCGTCAGCGCCCAAACCACGCAGCTGCGGGCTGTGACCTGTGCCAACGGGTACGGGCAATCGACCTTCAGGGCTCGGGCACAGGGGCGGTCCACGCTGAGACCTGCCAGGGGACAGAGGGGCCCAGAGGCATCGTCAGGACCTGCACTCTCCCCCACGTGGCCTCGGCTCGCTCCCCTGCTCCACTGTCTGTGGTCACGGATTGGGGAGCACAGAACTCTCAGGGGTCCCCAAGGGGTTCCAGTGTTCTGCAAGAACAGGCTGAGTCCCCAGCCCCGCTTTGTGGTCTCCACCTCTCCTTGCAGACAAGGGTGGACAGGGGCTGGCTCGCAGGCCTCCAGCCCATCCGGCAGGGCAGGGCAGGGCAGAGGGGCTTCCCTTTCCCTGCCCCTGCCCAGCCCTGACAGGACCTGCACCTCTAGTCACCGCCCCGTGCCCTGCTCAGTGAGCTGCCCTGGCTGGTCAGGGCTCATTTTCCAGACAGACAGGTGGCTGTGCAGCAGGAGGGGGACATGTGGGACTGCCCAGCCAGCAGCCAGAGGGGGCAGGGGTCCGAGCCTGGAGCCAAGAAACGCTGCTGACTCAGCAGTGCTGGGGCCAACTGGTATTCTGAAGGGAAAGCAGGTGAGGCCGAAGGCCCGGTTTGGGCACAGCTGAAAGCCTGAGTCTCAGGCAGCACCTGTCATCACGAAGTCACTGGGTGACGCCCCGCTCACGTGCACACGCGGGTGGAAGGCAGTGCTCACAGGGATCCCCCTCATCCTGTGAGCTGTGGACCCTAGCACGGCAGAGCCCCCCATGACCACTCCTGGCATCAGGCGCCCAGACCCCCACTCGATGGTGACTCAGTGTCAGCAGCAGGAACTTCCTCTGAGCCGGGCTCTCCCGCACAAGTGTTCAATTCAAACTGCTTCCTGCCAGCACCGCTGGGACGTGGGGCCGGAGGCGAGAGGCAGTTACCTGTCTGCAGGTACAGGTCCCCGTTGGTCCTGATGACCCAGGCCGTGTCATCGCTCAGGGCCACAAACACCGCCTGGGGCAAAGCCTCGTACCAGTGCCGCTTCCCCTTGACCGTTACTTTCCCACAGGCGAAAGCGCGGTTTGACTTCTGCTCGATCTTCCAGAGAAGGGCACCTGAGCGAACACAACTCAACTCACTGTCCCGCCAACAATGACCGTCAGTCACACCCCAAAACCAGCGCAGGGAAAGAGCGTGGCCGGGCCTGAACCTGGGAGTCCTGCCCGCAGGCCCCTTTCCCACTCCTGCAGGGCTACAGGGGAATGGCCGGGGAATGGCCAAGCCAGCACAACCCTGTGGGCATGGAGCGCAGCACGCGGCTGTCAGGGGCGAGGAGATATACACAGGAGCAGGGTGAGGTCAGCATCTGAGTGCTGGGAACAAAGGACAGGAGGCAAAGAAATGGCCAGTGACCCCCACAGGACGAGGCTGTCCTTTCCCCACTCAGGGAACTGACCCGGTGACTCAGCATGGTGACTGGGCTAGCAAGCATGAGGCTGTCGAGCCCAGAGCCGCCTCATGAGTGAGTGACCAGGACCAAGCAGTGAAGGGCCCACGAGTTGGGCAGCGCCCAGGGCAAGGGTGAAGCTGTGTCTGAACTAGCCACAGCTGGCGGGGAGATAGAGCGCAGGATCTCGGTGGGAGGTGGCAAGACTGGAATGGGCAGTGCTAAGACCCACAGAGAAGTGGACAGCCACACCTACAGCATGGTGCCACAGCACTGGCCGCCAGGGACACAGTGGTGCGTACCATCAAGCAATCGAACCTACGGGCTCAGAAGCACAAGGCAGCCTGCACCCTGGGGAGAGACGCACAGGCCCTCGGGGGCTCTGGGAGGAAGCAGCTAGCTGCTCCAGCTCTGGCCATGTAGGCCTCACAGCAGTGGCCAGGTACGCAGCACACACGGTGGGCGTTAGCCCAGGCTGCTCTGCCTCCCTACAATGGCCCTCAAGCTGGGCCAGAGGGTGGATGTGGCCCAGATTTACTGCAGCCCCTCTCACAGCCAGGGGGGTCATCACTCCCCAGAGCACTCATGTGACTCATGAGAAACTTTCCAAAAATGTGGGCTGGAGAGATAGCACAGCGGGTAGGGCATTTGCCTTGCAAACGGCCAACCCGGGTTGATTCCCGGCATCCCATATGGTCCCCTGAGCACCGCCAGGAGTAACTCCTGAGTGCAGAGCCAGGAGTGACCCCTGAGCATCGCCGGGTGTAACCTGAAAAAGCAAAAAAAAAAAAAAGAAACTTTCCAAAAAGGAAACCAAGGACTGCATGTGTCCAGCATGCCCACTGCTCCCCAGCACTGCGGAGAAACAAAAGCACGGTAGATTTTTACAAGGAGTTAGTAAATCCTTCAAAAAAACCCCCAAACTTTCCAAACTTAAGTGTTGCTGACACAGGGAGCAGTAAAATCCCTGGACGAACAACGAACTATCCGCTACACCCTGCACACGGGGCCAAGCGGAGCCCACCTTTGACCCTGGAGACCCTCGGCCTTGCAGTGAAAGGCCAGTCTCCCCAAGGCGGGCTGTGCCACAGGGATGCCAAGCAGAGACCAACCTGAGGGCGAGACCGCCACCTGCTGGACGCCGTCTTCGAACTTGTGCCAGCGCAGCCCGGCGCCCGGCAGCGCGCTGCAGAAGAGCCCGCCTCTGCTGTCCAGGCACCACACGTGTTTCTCAGAGATGGCCAGGCTGAGGATGCCACAGCCGGGGCCCGAGTAGACCATCCAGCTTTCTGCAAACTGACGTGGTCAGAGCTGTGAGTCCCGGCAGAGGCACCGGTCAGTGGCACCAGGTGGGGGCCCCCGGGACCACCTGGTGTGCCCCTCCACCTCCACCGAGCCCCGGGTGGTCCCCAACAATGCTGGACTTTGTGGTGTGTGCTCCTGCCCTTGTCCCGCCATCAGCGCTGCCCGGGAGAGGCAGCAGTACCACCCTCTACCCGGGAGAGGAGACACGGTTTGTCCTGTGTGGATGGAAATCTGCCAGAACACGCATGCTGCCTGCCTGAACCTGCGGGACCCCACCACACCGGGCTCCGGGTCTTGCTCCTGGGTTCTGTGCTCAGGAGCCACCCCTGACGGCTAGGGGCTTGGGGCTGGGTAGCGGGGCAAGATGCCGGTGCGATCCCTCTGGCACTATCTCTCTGGCACTGTCTCTCCAGCCCTTTTAAAAATCAGGGATGAGGCCTGGGTGGGAGCTCAGGGGTGAGTGTGCATGGCCGACACGCCGGAGGCCCGGGCACTGGGCTGGGAGCAGCCACACAGCATCGCCGAGGGTGGTTCCCAAGCAAAAAGCACACACAACGCCAAGGCTGGTTTTCACCGGTGAGTGGTTTCCTGAAGCACACACGAAATGCAGGTGGCTGTACCAGCTCCCACTCACAGAGGCGGGGCTTTGGAGAAGGCTGTCGGCCCTTCACATCCTGCCCTCCCCAGCCCCACGCAGCCATGCCAGGGCAGGAACAAGGACGCCTCCTGCTGGGGGAAGCGAGCCTTAGTGTGGCCTCAAGTCCACCTGGCGAGGAATGCCCGTATGCACCCTACTATTCCGCACATGGCTCACTGCCTTCACCTGTGTAGCCCACCTGTGACTCAGGCCCACGAAGGCAGCAGCCGGTCCCCAAGGAAACAGAGACACCCACTTCCGTGGCCCCTCTCAGAGCAAGCAGCAGCTGGGGCACGTCCAGGCAAGCGATGGCTGCCTGTGCTTCTCAGAGACGAGCTGGCCAGAGAGTGCGGGGCAAGGGCACCAGCCTTGCATGGGGCCAACACCTCTCACCTGGCACTACGCAGTCCCTCGAGCACCACAGAGAGTGAGCCCTCGCCCCCGGAAAAAGAAGTGAGCTGACCTGGGAGCTGCCCCCACCAGGCGGCTGACTCACACCCCCTCCCTCCGCCTGGAACAACTGCACTCATGATGATCACCCAGTGGGGGACACCCAGCACCACCAGGCACTGCATGAGAGGGCGGCCCACAGCCTGCGGGAATCAGGTGCTGTGAGACAGGGAGGGGAGCCGTTTGCGCTCCACTTTCTGGAACCTTTTTTTTGTTTGTTTTTGGGCCACACTCAGAGCTTACACCTGGTTCCGAGTTCAGGATCATTCCTGGAGGTGCTCAAGGGACGACATGAAGTGTTGGAGATCATACCTGGGGTGGCCACATGCAAAACAGGTGCCCTATCCACTGTACTAACTCTCCAGTCACTGCACTCTGCTTTCTGGAACGTTCTCTGCACTCTACTCTCTAGAATCTTCCCTGTGTTGTGCTTTCTGGAAACTTACCTGCCCTCTGCTCTCTGGGTCAGCCTCAGCCTGACCTCCCTGACGTGCCTGTGAGGCTGCTTGCTAGTCTGAGTGACCTGAAAGCATGTCCCCAAGCAGCAGTACAGCCTGTGGGTCCCCACTCACAGGCCCTGGCCCGAAGCACACGGCCAGTCCCATCCCCCAGCCCCCCGCCCCCCCAGCTACACACCTGGTCTGACTTGGGCAGCCCCGTGCCATCTGGGCCAGGCTGACCCAGCTCCTGCCCCGGGGAGCGACTGCCTCGGAGCTCTGTCACACTCGTCTCTGAGGACGAAGAGGGGAGCCCATGGGCGTAGATGTCTTCCTCATCGCTGGACGTCAGTGCCGGCTCCCGGGAAGGCGGTTCTGCGCGAGGCTCTGGGGCCCTGGTCGCCCAGGCTGAGACCGGACGAGTCTGCTGTCCCTCCACATCTGCACTGGCTTTCTGACCAGTGTCTCTGCCAGGGACCACGGGCTCGGGGTGGGTCCCAAGGTGGTCTTGCTCCTGGCTGGCCCCCTCAATGCTGCCCTCATCGGCTCTGGTCACCAGCGGCCACTGGTCAGCACAGGGGAACCAGCCAAGGCCAGGAGGCACTGGGGAGGATCCCAGGACCGGAACATCAGAAACAGGATGGGGGTCACCTGGCTCTAGGCACGTGGCCTCCAGGACCTGCTCAGCGCCATCCTGCTCTGGGCAGGGGGACTGTCCACTGTGCTGCGCAGGGCCCAGCTCCTCTTGCAGGCTGGAGACCTCACAGCCTTCTCCATCTTCCCTGGGTGGCAAGGGCAGGCTCTGCTCCCCACAGGGAAGCTCTAACTCCTGCGCAGGGTGTCCCAGGGGCACAGGGGTTCCTGGGGCACAGTCTTCACCAGGTATGTCAGGGCTAGGTTCAGGCACTTCCAGAACACTAAATGCTTCCGGGTCCATGTCCTGCAGGCTGTGGAGATTGCTCTCACCATCGGGAGACCCCAGGCTGCAGGAGCCCCCAATGCCGGGGGGCAGCAGGTCAGTGAGCAAGGCCTGGGGACTGTCTTCGGGAAACTCACAGCAGGGCGTGGAGTCCAGAGAGCTGGGGCATGTACTCCTGCTTCCGCCTTCTAAAGTACAACAGGGACAGTGAAGACCAGGGATGGCACCACGGACCAGAGACCAAAGTCAAACTCTCACTCAACAAAAACTGTATCTTCTGACCTGGGTTTGATCTCTGGCATCCCATATGGTACCCCCATATAGAATGTATGGGGGGAATAGTACGCCAGGAGTAATTCCTGAGTGCAGAGCCAGCAGTAACCCCTGAGCATCACTGGGTATGACCCAAAAAGCAAAACAAAACAAAACAAAAAAACCTGCAGCTTCCGGGCCCGGAGACAGCATGCACGAAGGCCTGGGTTCGGTGCCCACCTTCCCCACGCCCAGAGCCCCAAACACAGCTGAGGAGGTACCATAACACCCCCAAAATACAAAGGAAAATGATATTTTAGGGTTGGAGAGATAGCTCAGTGACCAGAGTGCAAGCACAAGGCTAGGATCAATCGCACCAGATGGTCCCCTGGGCACTGTCAGGCCCCACGAAAACCAACCTAACCCCCAAACCTGTTTTAAATGAAGGAATTTAATTACTGAAAAATATCTCCTCACCCTTTCTCTGTCTCTCCCCGCTCTCAGTGTTGGTTCCACACGTGAGGCAAACGTCCGATCGCTCAACTACATTCTGGCCTTCAGTAAGTTTTTCTAGTAAAATGACCTCAATGTAGGGTAGTTGAAAGGATACCAATACTGCACATTAGTGGCTAAGTGGCTCCCCCAAAACTGTTGGAACAACCGAGGGGGCTGTGCATGGTTTCTGGGATGGAGCGCATGCCTCACCAGGGCATGCTGGGAGGTTGATCTCCAGCATCACAGGGTCCCCAAGCACTGGCAGGTATTGACCTCACACCTCCACCCAAGTGATCACAGACTCATTTCCAAACTAATTAATGGCTTGGGAGTCTGGTCCACATCCCTTCTGTGCTGCAGTGCTCTCGGGGCGGGAGGGCTGACAGGCACCAAGAAACAAACACCTGCAAAGTTCTCTGCTGACTCCTTCACGCGGGGACATAACCAGCACCAAACAAGCCGACGCCTCCAAAAAGCATTCCATTCCCTAACACATCCCGCATCGTCAGGATTGTGCGTCTGATCACGAGGCATCCCATGCGGCTGGACCTGGCAGGCCCGGGGCCTCCCCCGTGCAGCCGCTCTGCACGCCCACCTGACTTGCGCCTCCTCCTGCGCTTCTTCACTTTGAGGGGCTTCACCACCAGCTCCTGGTCGAAGTCTTCCGTGCTGATGACACTGAACCTCTGTGCTGCGGGCTGGCTGCCTCTAGCCAGGGCCCCCGGGAGCCCAGAGCTGCTGTCGGTGGAGGTGAGTGAGCTGCTCCGGCTCCTGGGTTCGCTGGCTGCGGAGCTGGTCACCGAGTGGCCGCGGAGCCGAGTCTCGGTCCCTCCGGCTCCCACCGGCTTCTCTCCCCACTGTGCGCGGGAGCACTCGGCAGCCCCTGACACCTCCAGACTGTCTCGCCCTGAGGAAGAAATTGGGTTTCTTTACCAAGATGCTCTTACTGCACTGCACCAACCTGCGGGGTGCAGAGAAATGAGCGACACTCAAGGAACTGGCATAAGATTCCAAGGCACGGTTCCAGTACACAGGGAAATGAGCCCAAATCCAAAGCAGGGGAGTAACTTCGGCACAGCCCTCTGTAAATGACACAGCGGGAAGGCTCAGCTGAGCCTCCCAGGAGGGCTAGCGCATGCTTGACCAATGCCCCAGGAACATTTTAGGGCTCAAAGAACATCAGAAAAGAGCCCCGCCAGGAATTTAATTACTGAGTGCAGTAAGGAGTAATCCCTGAGTATCGCCGGGTGTGAACCAAAGTGCCCCCCCCCGAAAAAAAAAAATCAAAGAAAAAGAAAACTACACTTGCACCTGCCATGAAACTTGCCGAAACTGAGAAGAGAAAGGCAGCGCCCCCTACAGGGGACTGGAGGCAGAAGCTCGGGAAAATCACCGGGGAGTCAGGAGAGCAGGCTGGAGCGGTGGGACACCCAGGCCAAGCTCTGGCCCCCACCAAGAGCTAATGGCGTCCCCGCTCCCTGGACTTGTTCTCTCCCTGTGACACAGGTCACCAGGGCCAGAATTTTATACCCTCAGTGGTTGTGGCGCTGTGCTGCCAGGGCTGGAGCCTCAGGCTGGACCACAGGCTCTGGCCCTCTGGGGACCCGTGGGGAAGGGACACCACTTGGCGAAGAAGCCATGGTGAATGGCAGACAGCCTGGAACTGGGCTGTCCAACTAGGAGCAGCCTCAGTGGCAATAGCTATTCTGCATGTGTGAGGCCTGGGCTTTGACCCCTGGAACCACAATTTCTTTTTTTTTTAAATATTAAAACCAAATTCAAACAAGAGGAGACAAAATTAAAGTTGAGTTCCTCAGACACTCCCGTCTCCCAGGTCTAGCATCCTGTGGCCCTTGCACAGAGTGGTGGGCCCAGTCACCTCTGTCCCTTGAGCGCCAAGGGTCCCCAGCCCCCAAACTCGAGCCAGTTTAATTGCTCCCGTGAAAATCAGTGGGAATAGCACAGCCCCAAATGGGCCCTCCGTGGGGCTTGTCATCTTATGCAGTGGTTCACTCCCTCTGCACTCTCAGGTCTGCACTCTTCCGGGCCCTTGGCGTGCGGCTCTGCAGTGCCCCCTCTTGCCGCACTGCCTCCATTACAGAGACCGAGAAGGCCAGGTTCACTGCCTGCAACGCCCCCAACGCTTCTGCCTTCCACTGCCTCCAGCCGGCCCAGTCCTGCCTGAGGCCTCCCTGGTTCTTCTCTTGGTTTCTGGGCTGGACTACTGCTCAGCAGTGGGTCCCTTCTCTTCAGTGATGATGCCTCTATGCTCAAGAGACCCCAGCTGTGCCTGGCTGCTAAGCAAGGCCAGGTGCCAGTGATCAGTGATCTGAGACCCGCCCGTCGTCCCCCACTTCTACAGCACTCACAGGGCTGGAGAGAGAACAAGGGTTTGTGCTCTGCTGTGGACCCAGTTTGATCCAGGCACCCCTGAGCACTGTTCGGAGGCCAAAACAAAACTGGCACTTACGGAGGGCCTTCTGGGGGCCACACGCTGCACCAGGACACGGTGGGAGTCACAGGATCCACGCAGCAGAAAACAAAGCGTGTTGTGAGATCATTTATCACACAGGTAGTCTGAGCTGTGCCGGTAAGCAAACGACTCTGAAGTGGAGGTACATGCAGGCAAAGAGGGGAGCTGGGAAGCAGAGCACGCCGGAGCTCAGGAGGCCCTGGTGCCAAAGGGAAGGGCAGCAGGCAGAGGCCGCGAGGGGAGCCAGCAGTGGGCAGGAGGCCCTGAGCAGGCCGGTCAGCCGTGTAGTACAGGGAGGTGACCCATCCAGCAAGGTGCCAGCAAACAGCCCTGCATACTCAGGCATCCAGGGGCACCCAGCTGCCTCCTCCACTGCCTGTTCCCATCCCTTCACCCTCATGAACACTAGGGGGTCTCCACTGCAGGAAGTCAGCCCTTCATGTTCTCCTGAGATCCTGAGGGTCAGGCACTCAGTGTCTGCGGGTCCAGGCTATGCTAGACCGTCAGTAACCAGATCCTAGAGGAGCCCCAGGGACATAGCACCCGGGCGGTGCCTGTGGTGGGGCTTTTTGGTGCTTCACTGTCACAACTCCAGTGGGCGTGAACCACAAAGCTTAATAGGCCCAGAACACAGGGAAGGAGTCATCCCAAGGACAACCGGTTGGGGAAGGGGCCTGGGGCCCAGGAGGGCCTGAACAGGGGAGCACAGGCTTGGCATGCAGAAGGCTTGGCATACACAGGCCCTAGAGCACTGCCGACAGTGAGTGCCAAGACAAGGAGTAGTCCCTGAACACTCTCGAATCTTCCTCAGGTCTGTGCTTATACCATTAGTCCCACGTGTCTGGGAGGCTTGGAACTGACCCCTTCCCTGCCTCACACCCTGTTCCCCATCCTGCTCAGAGCAGGGCTTCTTAGCCTCTTCCACTCGCAACCCACTTGCTTGAGATCTTACACAAGTAGGTAAACAAATAAAGTGTTTGCTGATGAATTATAAAAAATCTTATGGGGGGGGTGTTTGGGCCAGGGTTTACTCTTAGCAGTGTTCAGGGCTGACTCCTGGAGGTGCTTGGGGGACCCTATGTGGTGTCGGTGGCTGACTGGATGCGGGTCAGCTGCAAGCACCTTCCCCACTATCTCTCTTGCCTCATAATGATATGTAAAATATTGGTTCTTCAGAGTTTCTGTAACTCTCACATTCAGTGACATGAGCCTTAAGTGGCCATGAGTGTGGTTAAGAAGTGGGGCTCTAGCCCAGCAGTCCTCCAGGGGGATGGAAGAAGTCTCAGGTGCAGTGGGGAGCGCTTTCTATTTGTTTGCTGAAAGAAGGGAAGTTACAGGGCTAGAGCAATAGCACAGCGGGTAGGGCATTTGCCTGGCACGCAGCCAGCCCGGGTTCGATTCCCAGCATCCCATATGGTCCCCTGAGCACTGCCAGGAGTAATTTCTGAGTGTAAAGCCAGGAGTAATCCCTGTGCATTGCCGGTGTGACCACCAAAAAAAAAAAAAAAAAAAAAAAAGAAGGGAGGTTACCAGGGGGGCAATTAGCAATACTGTTTCCTAGACAGGGGGCCAGAGCAATAGTACAGCAGGGAGGGTACTTGCCTTGCACGCGGCTAACCTGGGTTCTATCCCTGGCATCCTGTATGGTCTCCCCAAGCACACCAGGAGTGAGCTTTAATCACAGAGCCAGGAGTAACCCCTGAACATAGCTTGGAGTGGCCGAAACAAAAAGGTGGGGGGTGAAGGCCATGTAAGTTTGGGAAGCTCTCTTCTAGACCCATAGATACAACTCGGCCAAAGAGAAGAGTCAGGAATCACAGGAAATGCTCCACGTATTCCTTGTTTAGATAGAATGACCAGCACTTAATGAGCAAAACAATGCTAAAGTTTATGAATTACACACAGCAGTCACACAGTTCTTATTTTGTTTCTGGCCCATCTTTGCAGAGTTCAGGGGTCATTCAGAGGCTCTCCCGGCAGTGCTCCCTGGGTCATGCAGTGACAGGGACTGACCCTGAGTCTCCTGCTTGCAAAGCACATGCTCAGGCCCGAGAGTCATCTATCTGAATCAGATGGTACAACTGTAACAATACAAACCTATTGATGCTGGGCCTTCAGGCCTGCTGGAAAGTCTTATGATGTTCCTGTCTCCCTTTAAGAAGAAGATCTCATTCTCGGTGCAGGAAACACACACGATGTCACCAGATCCTTCCAAACCAGCAATCGTGGCCTGTGAAAAAGAAAACAAGTCAACACTGAAAGCACGTGCCCACATGTGCAAAGCCTGGAGGGCAGATGGCATGGAGTGCAATGGAGACTCTTGGAGGCCTCGGTTCGGCCAAGCCCCAGGATGGTCCCTTAACTTTCCTAGACTGGCTCTCTACCTCTGGGAAAGAGCCACCCTCCCTGACAGGCCCTGCAGTGGTCGGCCTCCCCCTACCTCACCACCCCGTCAGAGCTCCAGGGCCCTGCACCACCCTGCCCAGCTGCCTTGCATCCTTGAGCCTCTGTGCTGGCTCTTTTCCAAAATGCCCAATGCCACTCGGAGGCCACGTCCTTGTGAGCAGAGCTCGGTGCACACACAGTCCTCCACAGGGCACCCGCACCTGGGCAGGGACAACATACAGCCCAGTACGACGTCCTCCTGGGCATCCCTCTTTGACAGATGCTGTCCCCTTACATGGGGACTGAAGAGGAAAAGTGAAACTCTCCAGACCAGGGAAGAATACAAAAAAGTCTTTTCAAATGTGTGTGTGGGGGGGGGGAGGGGGGAGGAGAAAGGGTTCTGGGAAACCCTCAGGGCTAAAGTCTCCTTGGTAAGGGTCAAGCTCAGCCCACTGCCATCCTGAGGAGGTCTCAGACAGGAAGCCAAGCTAGGCAGAGAACAGACTTCTACTGAGAGGCAGAACCAGCTAGAATCTTCCAGAAAGAGCATCTTGTGGCTTCCTTCCCTGCTCCGGAGCTAGGATGATGGGGGAGGGCGGAGGTGTGGGGGCGGGGCACAGAGAAACAGTTAGACTTTAGCTTCTGTGCACACCCAGAAGAGAAAGCCACCCCAGAAGAGAAACACTTTATTTGTGGAGAAACTGATGGCCAGGGAAAGCAATGTCTGCCAGAAGCCTGAGGGGTAAGCAGGAAGGGAGAGCTCACGGAGACAGAGTTTTCTGTAGTTCCTAGGCTGTGCCCTCACTCACAGAAACTATCCCGAGAGTCCACCCCACTGAATGGAGAGATGGAAGAGCGGGTGAGATGCGGGCAGCTCTGTGCTACCTACTGTCTCTTTCCTGTTTGCTCAGAGCACCGTGTGAGGCAGAAAAAAATGCCCCAGACAGTCTCAGGAACCAACGTGGGACTGGCCTTACATACAGCCAGCCCAGGTTCTATCTTTGGCACCCCATCTGGTTCCCCAAGCCCCCAACGTGATCCCTGAGCACAGAGCCCTGAGAACGACCAAGTGTGACTCCCCCCCAATAATTAAAAAAAAAAAAAAAGAACAAGCTTGATTCCATGCTTAAATATCAAACCCAGATGGTTTCTTGGCAAAGTGGAGATCAGGAACTCTGAAACCTGGCATTTCGATTATGAAGCCCCGCTGCTCCCATGGGCCCGAGCGAGCAGCAGAATCACCCAGTCCCATGCTCTCTGGTCTGTGAGCGACGTCCGGTCTCCTGCCTTTGAGTCCTCACCTGGTTAACGGTGTCCAGGAGGTAGATGCTGTACTCATTCCAGCTCAGCACCCAGCCGTCCTGGCAAAAGCATGACACCAGCCCCAGGTGCTTCTCAGGGGAGCCGCAGCCCCCGCCATCAGCTGACTCCAGGCGCGGGTAGAGCTCGAAGGGCTGCACCCCGCCAGCAAACACATCCTTTAGAATGAACGTGGCCTGGACAGCGCCGTGAACGTCGGCCTTCCACAGGCGGAGCCCTGGCCGAGACGCGTACAGGGTGAGGTCGCTCTGCTTACACAGGCCAGGGATGAAGCAAGCACCAAACTTCCCAGTGCTAAAGCAGAAGAGAAAGAAGAAATCAACAGGCCACCTGGGCGGCCTGGACCCCACAGAGCTGCCCACTGCTGATCAAGGCTCTGGCAAAGCCTTAGCCAGACTGTTTTTTTTTTTTTTGCTTTTTGGGTCACACCCGGCAATGCACAGGGGTTCCTTCTGGCTCTGCACTCAGGAGTTACTCCTGGCGGTGCTCAGGGGACCATATGGGATGCTGGGACTCAAACCTGGGTAGTTTACGTGCAAGGCAAACGCCCTACCCGCTGTGCTATTGCTCCAGCCCCCAGACTCACTTTTTACACCTCTATTTTCTTTCCTTATTCATGAGCCAAGTTATCCCTCTGGAGGGGACACGGACAGTCATACCCCGGCAGCACCTTGACCGTGCGCCCTCCCCATCACTCCGCTTCCTCACCACAGCCCTGGGGGACCACACTGAGCTCGCACGTGAAAGGGAAATTGAGGCAGGAGACAAGGCTGGGTGTGACTCATCCCCTGCTACCAGAACCACTCTACAGCCGCTCCAAGCCCAGCTGGGGTCTGTCTGTGTTTTGGTCACAGACTAGATGAGGGTCTAAGAAGACAGCGGCCGGCCCTGGGTCCCATTCCCCAAAGTAGACAGAACAATGCATGCGGCACTCTCCTCGCCCCCGAGCCCCAGCGCCTTAAACATGTGGCCCTCCCCTGGGCCCTCACAGAGACACGGGCCATTGACAGCACAGCTGTCCTGGGTGGTCCAGGCAGAGGAGTGGTACCTGCAGGCCCCACGCAGGTCCTGTCTGGGGCCGGACCCACTCGGGACTCCAGGCTTAGGGTGCTGTGTCTTGAGTTGGGCACACAGGGGATGGGGGGAGGGCTCACCTTTTTTGTGTGTTTTGGGGGTTGGGGCTACTCCTGGTGGTGCTCAGAGCTGACTCCTGGCTCTGAGCTCAGGAATCACTCCTGGTGGGCTCAGGGGACTCCAATGGGGTACCAGGGATCAAACCCAGGTTGGTTGTGTGCAAGACCAGCACCTTCCCACTGTCCTGTGGCCCCAGCCTCCAGTGGCTCACCTTTTTCTGGGCTGCGTGCCGACCTGCTGCACTGCCCTCTCCTCTGTGTAGAAGAGCAGGCTCCTCTGGCGCGTGGACACCAGCAGCACCCTCTGGCTGTAGTCCAGCTGCACGATGGAAGACGGCTCCTCCAGTACCAGGTGTGAGTGACAGACGCCCTGCAGGGGAGCAGGGCCCTCAGCCCAGGGTCGCCCACGGCCCCCAGGCCTGCTCAGTCCCAAGGGCCACCCTGCATTCCCCAGATCCATTCAGTCCCAAGGGCCGCCCAGTGCCCCCAGATCCGCTCAGCGAGTACAGGACACTGCTGGGGAGTCTCCGACCTCTTGCTGGCCACCCTGCCACAGCAGGTTCAGCTTGGAGGGTCCTGACCTGCGAGGGAACAGTGCCTGTCAGGGCTTCAAGTCTGCCCAGAAGTCTCAGACAACTCCAGGCTCTTCTCTCTTTCTCCCCGGCGCTGGGCTGGAGCCAGGCTGCACACAACTAGGCAGGAGCCCTGCGGTCAACCTGCCAAAACTGGAGATGCTCCTGGAGACAGTAAAGAGTCCGCAGGGCCTGGGGGGCACTCAAAGCCTCACAAGCCAGCACCACAGGTGCGGGCTCCACCCCGAGGACCAGAGTAGCCCTGGTGGCCCCTGGCCAGGGGGGAGGGAATCAGAGAAAAACAAAAGAAGAGCCTATACAGGTTTAAGCAGAGATGTGCCACCTGTGCAATATTCACTGTGACAGAACACGATGTGCCTCCTGTGTGATATTCACTGTGACAGAACACAGATGTGCCACCTGTGATATTCACTGTGACAGAATATAGATGTGTCGTCTGTGTGATATTCACTGTCACCTAAAACACAGAGATATGCCACCTCTGTGATATTCACTGTGAGAGAACAGAGATATGCCACCTGTGTGATACTGTGACAGAACACAGATGTGCCGCCTGTTTGATACTCACTGTGACAAAACACAAAGATGTGCTGCCTATGCAATGTTCACTGTGACGGAACACTGATGTGCCGCCTATGTGATATTTACTGTGACAGAACATAGAGATGTGTCACCTGTGCGATATTCACTGTGACAGAACACAGATGTGCTGCCTGTGTGCAATATTCACTGTCACCGAGAACACAATGGAAACTTCTACAGAATATTTTCACAACTATCCACTAAATTCAACGCAACCACACACACCCTTCCCAACCCCTGACTTAGGAACACTGGATTCCTAGTAACAGAATCAAAAGAAATAGGAAATTAGAAACAAACTCAAGCAACATCAAAACTACTGAGGAATAGTGGCTGGAGCAATAGGACAGCGAGGAGGGTGCCTGTCTTGCGCGTGGCCAATCTGGGTTTGTACCCTGACACCCCATAAGGTCCCCTGAACCCACTTGGAGTGATCCCTGAGTATAGAGCCAGGAGCAAGCCCTGAGCACCACAACACAGCAGAACAAACAAAACAAAAACCCTAAGTGAGGAATAGATGAATACTGTAAGGAAAATTGGAGGAGATATTAACTGTGAACACAGACCCTATTTCTTGGTGTCAAATCCGTGCTCCTGGGTGGGGAGCAGCTCAGTTAGTGCCCTGGTCTATTGTTCTTGGCAAGCACTCCTGAAATATTTGGAACTAGTTTCCTTCTTGTCAAAGAAACATTGATGGTGGGCCTGAGTCACTCAGTGAGCTGGAGTACCTGGTTTACATGCTGTAGCCTCAGAACCACATGGTCCCAAGCACCACTGGGAGCTCCAGAGCACAGAATCAAGAGTAGACCCCTAACACAGATGAGGCCCATACCTGCCCCTGCCAAAGAAATGCTGACTGGATATGCTGGTATCCTTTCTGGGCTGCTAGAGAGAACTCCCAAGCAGACAGGGATGTGATCCACGTCTCAGCATGCCCTTAGGAGAGACAAATCCAGGAATCCTGGAAGACTCAAAGCCAGAAGCTCCCCCAGGTGATCCCAAACATTCCCAAGAGGACCCACGAAAGCTTCTGTGTGTCATCTAGGACAGTCACAGCCCTGCGGCCTTGTCAATCTCAGGCAGGTCTGAGAAGGCATTCAGGGGGGAGCAGGGCGCTGAGGGGCGCTCTCTCCCCGATGCTGTGTGTGCAGGGCTGCACAGCATGAAGGGACCCCAGACATGGCTTCCAGAGCACCTTCCCTCGAGCTGCAGTTCCGGCAGGCACAGATCCCATAGGTCTATGCAATCCTTCTCAGAGAGAAGCCCAAAGCTGCCACTGCCCTTCCAGGTCATCACCGCTCTGTCCTGCTGGTGCCCAAGTGCCGGTGGCCTGAATGAGGGAGGTGCACACAGAGCCTGTCCCCACACATTTGCAGCACAAACAAACCTCACACTGCAGGACATCTCTGCTGGAGAAAACCTGCTCCATCTGCCCAAGCCCTGGGTCCAGGGCTGAGACCAGTGGGGCGTGGAGGGGCTGTGCCACCCACTTCATTCATTCATTCATCTCACATGGTATCTGGTGCCCTTCCCTCAGCAAGAACCAAGTGCGCCGGCCTTCAAGGAAAGCCAGGGACAGCACTCGCTGCTGCAGCCACATTCTGCTGGTCACGTGCCAACCAGAGCCTGGGGCTGGACACTGGCCTCGGACACCAACACGGCTGCAGCCTCTAGTCCTCCCTCACGGGAGGTGCTTCCCAGGCACTGAGCTGAGCCGATATGGGAGACCCACATGCCTGGTGGGTTGTGCCTTCCAGGTGACCCACACAGGGCAGGAAGTGCCCATGTCAAAGAACCACGCAGAGCGCAGGGCAGGCGGGAGGTGCTGTTGTGCCAAGTCTGAGCACCCTTCGAGGGCTTCAGACCCCGAGAACAGCCGTGAGAGAAATGCTGGACGCTGACTGGGGCAGACGACTTAAGCAGAATGCCCACAGTCCTCCAGAGAGCCGGCTATACCCTCGTCCGTATGCCGGGATCCAAGTCCTGGGACAAGACAGATGGGACAGAGGACCAGACAGACGAATAAAAACACTGCTGTCCCCCAGGCACCGGAGTCGAGGCACCCTCTCCTCAGTGGTTTGAGAACAGATACTTCCACAAAAAAAAGCTAGTACTTGTGTTAACACAGAGCAGTGCAGCATTTTTTTTCTGGGGGGGGGGGGGGGGCACATCCTAGGGCTTACTGATGGCTTTGTGCTCAGGGATCTCTCCTGGTGGTGCTCAGGGGAACACATGGGGTGCTGGGGACAGAACCCAGGTCGGCTGCATGCAAGGCAAGTGTCCTGCCCACTGAACTGTCTCTCCAGCCCCTGCAGCATTATTTTAAACTGCATTTCAGCTAGTTTGGGTTTGGGGGCCACACTCTCAGGAAGGAATGCGGGCTCCTGCTCACAGAGCGTGCATCCAGCCCCGGGGCCTGCAGCACCACACTAAACTTCCCCGTGTCTCTGACACAACGCACTCTGAAGAGAGACCAGGCAGACAGCTCTGTGGGGGCCTCCTCTGATGCACGAGAGGGGGTCAAGACGAACAAGCCTGAGAACTACTGCTACAGATTACGGGTCAGCCCTGAGTCAGAGGGGCTGAAGTCCGCAGCTGACCATGGTCAGAGTCTCAGGCGCTTCACTACTGGCAGTAGATGGACCCTTCACCCGGAGCGACAGTAAAGGTGACTGAGTAACACAGCCGGGCAGAGAGGCTGGGCACTTCAGCCACACAAAGCCTTGCCACAGGCAGCCAGGGAAGTTTCAGCCACCGTGAGCCGGCACCCACACACAGTGCCTGGAAGGTGCTTTCTGAAAAGAGAAGGAAACAGCGAAGGGGCTGACAAAGACAAATGCTCAGTGTCAGGAGGGGAGCTGACAGAGCCAAGCACAGTCCCTGAAAGAAAACGCTACAGCTAACGACAACGCCAGGCGCAGTGGACACACGATGCAGGGACAGCTCTACTCCGAGGACGCTGTTACCTGGTCTAGATCCAGAGACGAATAGACGATCTTCCCCTTGTCATCGCCAGAGAATAATTTCATCCCGTTGGGGCTCCAGGCCAGAGCCGTTATGCTGGTTTTGTGAATGGCAGCGACATCAAATCTCCGGAGCTGGGCACGGAGGTGACAGGAGAAGCATGAGCTTGGCCATGTGCAGGGTTACAGGCACGAGTGATGGGGGCACTTTCCCAGCCCCCTCCAGGAAGAACCCCCCGATTCCACTGAGCCCCCTTTAAAGCCAGCCGGTGGGCGCATGCAAATGTCAGTGAGCTTTGGGTTCTGCCCAGTGTAGGGCCAAGCTTTGCTGAGCAGGGTTTTTGGGCTGAGGGGAGTTTCTCCCTTGCAGAACCCCCAAAAGCCCAGCAGCCTAAGGTCATGCGTGCACCTGCTTATTTCTCCCGGGTAGTGAAGACACTAGCTGGAAGACCGCGACTCTCCCCGAGGCTGTGCCCGCGGCCACCAGGTCATCGAAGCAGCTCAGGAGCTTCACAGCTGTGATGGACTCTGTTCGGCCCTGGGGAGGAGACAGCACAAACACGGTTGAGACTGGGCAGAGGACAAGAGAAGCCCCCAGGGATGGACGCCGAGGGCAAGTCTCCAGCTGACAATGAGGGAAGGTGGCCAGTCCCTGCTCTTGCCTTTCTAGGTGTCCAGGCTTGGAAATGCCACGATGACAGCCTGACTGCACGGAGATGAAAACCCAGGTCTGAAGAGACTTTGCTCGGGCCAAGCAGGCGCCTGCCCAGAATCAGAGGTGCAGGCACCCCAAGCGGCCAGGTCAGTCTGCCCTCCTGGAGCACAGCCCAGGGCGCAGGGCAGGTAAGCCTGAGCTGGTTGTGTGGGGGCAGCCTGTGAAACAGCCCTGCGGCTGCACGCACGCCCACTGAGAAGCAAGGCTGGGCCGAGATGCACGCAGAGGCAGAGGCAGGCACAGGCTTAGCGGGACAGTGCTGCCACCAAGCATAAGAGCAGAGTGCAAGTGAGCAAGTACTGCGCATGTGCCTGACACGCTGGGCCAGACTGGTGACACTCGGCTAAGTGACAGTGCGAGGCCTGAGGATGCGACGTCGCACAGGCCTGCAGTGCCGGGGTTCCAGAGTCCCTAGCGGTGCTGAAGGTGTCATCGGATGCTTCCGTTTTGAAACCAGATTGATTCAGAAAGACCACCCACACTTGGAGCTGGCTAAGCTGCCTGCAGAAGGCTGCCCACACAGGGTATGGAGGGCGCGGGCCGGGCGCAGCCGGGTGGAGGAGGACTCACTCCCTGGGTTTCTCAAGGGCTGTAAGATCATGATACAAAGAAAGGGTTGGATCCTAACTGCAGGAAGGAAGGGGTGAGCCCTGAAGATCCCTGACTCTGCAGCAGATGCTTTAGCAGTGCTGCGGGTTCCAGATGGGGAGCAGGCTGAGAGGAGGGGGCGGACTGTCCAGGAACAGAGCAGGCGGCTTCTGGCTTACTCCAAGAGAAGCAAGGCTGGGGATAAGGGCAGGAACGTGACTGGAATCAGACCTGGGGTAGGGTGACCGTGCCAGGGAGGAGGAGCGTTCCCCACATCCTTTCCCAGAGGTCCGCAGACCAGGCACCATGGAATATGTTACATGCACCATCACCTGAGTTTCCAGCTGATGGCGAGGAGGGCAGGCACCGCGGTCAGTGGTTCGTGATGGCCCCAGACTTGGCGGGTGGGCCAGCAGAGAGGAAGGAGCATGGTCAGACTGTCCAAGGGGAGGTAGTGGGTAGTGGGGCAGCACTTAATGGAACCCTCTGGTGCTGCCCAGGGGAGACTGTGATGGGGACAGTGCTTGTTTTCATTTTATTTAACATGATTAGTGATAATGTTACAGTTTACTGACTTTTACCTACAACTTTCAACAGGACAGCAGCCTTACTATCTAGAAAAACAGTCCTATATGAACAGTCAGAAATGTGAAGGAGGAAACTTAAGACAGGCGCTCTCTCTCTCTCTCTCTCTCTCTCTCTCTCTCTCTCTCTCTCTCTCACTCACTCTACCTCCCCCTTCTCTCTCCTGGGTATTCAAAAAGTAAAGCAATGGTTGGAGAGATAGTCCAGTAGATAGGACGTTTGCTTTGCATGCAGCTGACCCTGATACCATCCTGGGACCCCATAGCATCCCCTGAGAACCATAAGGAATAATAGTAATTACCAAGTACAGAGAAAAGACTAACCCCGGAGCATCAGTGGGTGTGACCCAAAAACTAAAACATACAAATCAGAAACAGCAAAGCAGGAGACTGGAGTGATAGTACAGTGGGTAAGGTGCTTGCCTTGCACATGGCCAACCCAGGTTTGATCCCCGCATCCCTGTGAAACCCTGAGCACCACCAGGAGTCATTCCTGAGTGCAGAGCCAGGAGTAACCCCCTGAACATTGCTGGGTGTGAGCCCAAAACAAAAACAAACAGTAAAGCAAAGTGCAGAAACAACACACAAACACACACACACACAGTAGTTCAGGATAGTAAAAAAGTAAAACAAAGTGCAGAAACAAGAATCACAGCAGGGCCTGAACAATAGCACGGCGGGGAGGACACTATCTTACATGCAACCAATTTGGGTTCAATCCCTGGCACCCCATGTGGTCCCCAGAGCCCAACAGGAGTGATCCTTGAGAATCCAGGCTGAGGTTGGGCAGAGGGAATAAGAGGAGGGCACACGCTCAGTATGTGGGAGGCCTGGATTACCGCCTGCTGCACACTGATCGACTGGTGCCCACCACCCCAGCATCTGGGCATGGCCTCTATAGAGACACAGAACCCAAGTCCAACAGACTTCACTGCCAATCCCTCAGCCACCAAGACAACTCCTTGATGCTAAAGTAATGATCAGCATGGTTTTTCTTTCCATTTTTAAATTTTTGGCACATGATTTGCAATATCATTAATAATAGGGTTCACATGTACAACATACCATGCCCCCAGCAGTGTCCCCCACCTCAATCCACCAAGCCCCCCTCACCTGTGAGCACTTTTTAGCAAAACCTAGAAGTGCTCAGGACTTAACTCCTAGCTTTGCTCAGGGATCACTCCTGGTGGTGCTCAGGAGACCACATGGGATGTCGGGAACAAGAACCTGGGTCAGATACAAGCAAGGCAAGTGCCCCATCCCCTGTACTATCTCTCCAGACCCCATTAAAGTTTTTTTTTTTTTAATGTAAGAGTACTGCTATTAATCAGCCACTGATTAAGCTGACTGAAGCAGGTATGAACTCCACATTATTTTTAAAAATTTTTATTGAATATCCATGACGTGGGCTGGAGCGATAGCACAACAGGTAGGGCATTTGCCTTGCATGCAGCCAACATGGCCCACCCAAGTTCGATTCCTCTGCCCCTCTCGGAGAGCCCGGCAAGCTACCAAGAGTATCGAGCCCTCACGGCAAAGCCTGGCAAGCTACCCGTGACATATTCGATATGCCAAACACAGTAACAACCAAGTCTCACAATCGAGATGTTACTGGGTCCGCTAGAGCAAATCGATGAACAACAGGAAGACAGTGACAGTGTGATCCATGAGGTAGACCATTATAAAGCTGTTCATGATTGGGCTTCCGTCATACAATGATCCAACGCCCATTCCTCCATCGGTGTACGTTTCCCACCACCAATGTCCCCCATTTCCCGCCCACCATCCCCCAACACCGCCCCCCTCCAGTCTCCCTCTATTTTTGTGCATTATAGTTGCAATACAGGTACTAAGAGGTCATGGCATTTGTTCAGGGTGTTCAATATTTTTATTGGAACTATAAGGTTGGAGTAGTGTTTTTTTACTGGGTGGCAGCTTTGGGGAGTGAATGTGACTGCCGAAAGGCTTCCATAAGTACAGGGACGTGGGGGCGGTAGCTCATCTCGACCCTGAGAAAGCCTGGAGATTTCAGTCACAAAACCTGCATATCCAAATTTTCAACAGGTTAATATCTCCGGGAGGTCTGTCCTGAGAGGGTGGAGTCTGACTGGGGGCGGGGGCATAGCAGTGATTTTGGGTTGTGGGAGCAAGCAGCTGCAGAGGGCTCTGCATGGGCGGGCACCAGGCTACCCTGCACCCCTCCAATTGCTCAGCCTTGCGTGGGTCTGAGATTAACTGTGGCTTTTGATCTCTTTGGAGTGTCATTTATGCGTCTCTGAAGCAAGGCCAAAAAATGAGCTTGTATAGTTGAATTGCATGTGGTTTGTGGGCATGACCCCCCATACCTAACTTTTAGCCATTTAATTTCTCAGGGACTTTGGTCCCAGTTTTTGGGGTCCAGTCAGAGGCACAGCAGCAATTTTGGGGTATCAAGAAGCCTGAAGGCACCATCAGGCTGCTGATGCACTCGCTCCACAAGTACAGGCTGACCTGCTGGTCACACCATATCCCCACCAAGTAAGTATTTTTAAAGAAAGGCACCTTTAAAAAAAAAAAAAGACAGAAAGAAAGGCACCTTTTGTTTGGGAGCTAATGGATCTGTGTGAGGCTCACTCCCAGAGATACTGGCAGGGAAGGATATGGAGCCAGGGATCAAACCTTGGCTTCCTGCATATAGAACATGAGCTCTGGGCCCTGCGCGGTGGGGGGGGGGGGGGGGGCGGGGTTAGGAGACAGCTGCAGACACTGAGCTATTGTATGCTCAGTAAACTACAGTGGCAAGCAGGAAAATTCCACATCTGTGCCACCCTTTCTTTCACTGAGGCTCTTGGAACTGTCAGCTGTGGCATCTGGATCAGAGCGTGTCCACAGATCTCCAAACCAAGACAGGACAGTGCGGGCACAACAGGCCTGGCAGGGGCTCTCTGCCAATACACAGTATCCTCTGAGCAGGGGAGAAGACAAGGCTTCCAGCCAGGCAAGGAAGACTGAGCCTACGGCCGAAGGGGAATGGGAAAACGGGCCTGTTGGCAAATGCAGCGGACAAGGAATCTACTTCATTCCTGAGGCAGAAGCCTCATTCGATGCATCTGACACAGGCCTGCCCTCCCTCTCCCACCCAGGCAGGCACACGTGTATGGAGAGCCTCCGTGTCAGTCTGCGCCAGCTCTGCCCCGCCACAGCCCCATGCCTGACAAGGCTCACACTGCCTGGCTGTGGGACAGCCCCGACTTGGTGTCTACCCTGAGCAGGACCAGCCACACTGCCCGTCATTAGACGTCACCCAGAAAAATGGCCTGGGAACAGCAGCAACAGAAAAGGCAATGATAAAATGGAACAACCCCTGTCTCCCACGATGTAAGTACTGCACCTCACCGAGGAGACACTGGCCAACACTGTCAGAGAAATGGAACAAGAAGTGTGGACCCAGGGTGAACTGCTGGCAGAATGAAACCTCGAAAGTACTTGAGATCTGAGTGGCGGGGCCAGGCTGCAGAACAGTCACAGCAGAGAGAAAAGGACTGCCCTAGACACTGATCCACGCAAAGACTGAGATTCATTTCTCTTTAATTTTTGCTGGGGAACAGGCATTTTATTGGCGGCACGAAAGCCATGTGTGTTACACAGGCCCCAGGGCCCTGGTTAGTTTGT